GTTGTTTGCCGCAGTATTCCATCGCTCCGCGAGGTTCGAGCGTGGTTGACCCCATGAGTTCCCGCACTCGCATACCACTCTACCCTACACTCGATTGCCCCTCGTTTCCTGACGGTAACGTCCGCCAGCAGTTGTCGTCGTGGCAGCCCTCGGAAGACGTCCGAGGGTCAGAATGAGTCCGGAGGGGAGGGGTAGGAATGGATGGATGCCTCTCTTCGTTCACTGATCGTTCTTTCCGTACAAGCGGCTGCGCTGAGAGGGCACACAACAGTCGAAGAAAAAACAGCGACGCGACGTAGACGGGAAGCTCTTCAGGCAAAGGTGCTATTCGGGAAAAGAGATGGCGGGGCTCCATTTGGTTCGCCAGGGTCGTCCCACGCCTTAATGATCTCGCGGCGGAACTCTTTGAGATTTAGGGCCATCCATGTCGTCATGTACTCGTGGCCGCACCGAGCCACGATCTGCACGCTCCGTCCAGATGGATAGCCAGGAAGTAGCACTTAGCCAAGATGGTTATGGTCCGATGTTTGTATGCGACACAATGTCATCTCGAGAGAGTCGAAAGCTCAGCACGCGATCAAGCTAGCTCGCCTCGTCGCGGACAATCTTGGCTGCTCCGTTTCCCCTGACATCTTTCCCGTCGAATGTTCTCGTGGAGAGATTCTCTTCTATTCGAGAGACGAACACGGAGCTCTTCTTCTTTTCGGAGAGCTCCATTCGGCCTCGCGTGCCAAATTAAACTACGCAGAAGCCTCTATGTATGTATGTGTGTACAGAAAGAATCATTCAACGCGCTCACGGAAAAGATATATGGCGTTTCGCGCAGTCATCGAGTCAGGAATAATGAACGGAGAAACATAAATATACAAAGGATAAAGCGCGATTGGATGAGAACCCTCGGAAGACCGCTGCTCCTCGAACGGAAAAGCTCCCCAAAATCCCGCCGATTCCCCCAGTTCCCGCATCCCCGAAGACGAGGCTCCGTTTCCCCCGCAGATAATGCTCAAGTTTCCATCAGATCGGCGGGCTCCTGTCTGAAACCTCCGTATTTCTCTATTCCCATTGTCGACAATTTGAGCTTTTCCGTGTAGCTTTCCCAAGACTTCCCTATGCTCCCCCACCCTGTCATCTGATGGTTCCATCCAGATCCCATCGCCGCTCCTCATCTTTATTTGTGACCCGTCATACGTCTGCCTTCATCTCGCTTGCTCGTCGCAGACATGCTCTCTATTTCCCACCTCGCCATAGCTCTCCCACCGACTGTTTTTTCTCTCCGTCATCCTCATTCTTCTTCTTTTCCCTGTCGTCATTCGTCCTTAGCATTCTGGGCTGCAGAACGACGATGTTGTGCCATTCTCGTCGTGGGGCCATCGTCATTGCGGCGTCACTGCCAGAGCCGAAACTTATTGACGGAGGAACTTGCTTGGAATTAATCAAAGCTTGTCACTACCTTCTGTTGGGTCCGCTTCCTCGTGCCGTCCACTGGCTCCCCGCCCACAAATCCTTTCGAGAATGGTTTCCTCTCCTCTTCCGCGTCCCAGCATCTCCGCTCGCTCCGGCCCGGTCAGTTGACGACGGTTTGATTCAAATCTCGGAAGTTCAAATCCTTCGTCGTCCTTCTCGAGAAAAAGTCGATCCGGTCGAAGTCGAAGTTCGATATCGGCTCGCTTAAATTATGCAAAAGTTTCCCGTCCGCTACTCTCCGACCCCTGTCGTGTTAAAGGTTTTCCTTATTCCTGCGGCACGCGCTATGTCTATTAGGGGGCGTAGGTTTTCTGCGTCGTAACTCACTGCCATTGTTCATAGATATATTCAGAAAGAGGTGAGTCTGATGAAATATGAAGAACGAGAGCGGCGTCGCACGACCGATCACAATCGATCACTTCCTTCGGGCGTCAAGATTTTCGACAGACGTCCCGCATTCGGAACGCTCGGCTGTGTCGCTGTGTCAATGCACTTCTGAGCTCCAGTCAATCTCAGAGAATGAACTCGCATTCCGAATCGCATGCTCCATTCGGCGTCCATCAATAAATTTCTCGCAGAGACGCCTTCGATCCGGAGTATCTTCGGACCGTAGAACACAGCACGAAGAATGCGAGAACCGTCCCGATGATAAGCGTGATCGCTAGAACTTTGCGATTGGCTCTTTCGAGATACCAGACAGAGTCATGAATGATGAGAATTCGAATTTGCTCCCGGAAAGGGATTGAGGAAAGAACTGAAATCGATACGGGAACCTTCGCCGCTATGAAGTCGACCGTCTAGAATTAGAAGCCCTCTTTCTGCTTATATCGGAGGTTTCAGGTCGTGAACTCGCAGACTGACGACTCGTAGGTTCGCCGGTGGTTGGTTCGAATGGCAAAATACCATTAAAGCCCCTGATTCCCAGCGGAACTGATTGGTTCCCCTTCCCCCGCGTGCAGAGCAGAAGACTCTTAAAGGACTCGAAAGGGAAAAACTATTATGCCGTCTCGCTTGTGTGGACTTATTGCTATTGCGAGTGCGACCGACTGTGTCCCCCGAGTGGTGCTGCCGTCCGCCCGAGCGTTCTTCCGTCCGCTCGTGCCTTCGTGTGTCTGCCAGCCAGACATGTGACGAAGCGAGAAGGTGGTGGGGAGCTTTTTGGAAGGGTCATTGAAAAGTCATGCACAAAAGAAATGCCAATTTAGAGTCCATCTACGGATTTCACGCGTTGTGTGACCGGAGCTTTTGTCGTGGCTGCCGTCCTAGGTTAGTAAGACCATTCCTCCTCCATTCGCCGTCGTTTTGTGCCCGAAGTATGACTCTGAGCGCCAAAACACGATGCGGTGACGGCATCCAGAGTTCGGTCGAAAGAGATATTCATAGGTGGATCGGATAATCCGCTTCCTCCTTTCCGCGTTCCAGCTTCACTCGAGCACTTGTCCGTACCTAGGATGCGATTTATTCTCGACAAAGACCATTCAAATGAGATATGAAATACTATCATCCATAGATGAATTAATCTACACGATCTCCCCGAGCACATAAATCATTCTGAGATGAATGACGCGATGGGCTGAGCAATGGATCTGGCACTACGCCGAATGGAGGAAAAGATAATAGGCTCTCGCATTTTCCGCTCACAGAGACCGAGCGGCGAAGAGTAGCGAACTTAAATGTTGGGAGCTCTCTGACATGGAACCCTCCCGCTGAAACTCCGGCACCGTTGTCCCGGCATTCGCACAATTAAAAAGTTCTCCATCAGAAATCCTCTCAGTCCGTGCCTTCCGGAACCCGATTCCACCCAGTCCCAGCGATCCGACCGGCAACGAGTGATTCACTGAATGAAGTTTCGTAACGGATCGCGCGGGCTCGAAACGGCGCCCTGTTCCCTCATTGCGAGATAAGACGCTCGCGCGATGTGGAAAGCAGGAGCCAAAGTCACCTGGATCGGGGTAGGCTGGGACTTCCAAATTGGACCGCCCTCACGGATTTGAATTTACTCCAAAGTTCCGCTCACGAACATTTTCGCCTCCTGACACTCTGGATCTGAATTCAAGAAAATCCTCATGCTTTCGAGCAACGTTGCTCCGATTGTAGTTCGCATCCAATCCGCAGTTTTCTGCACAAATGAAGCATTTCCCAGGGCGTCAATCAGTTATACACCGACGGGGTGAGTTCCACGAAGTTCAAAAGTGAGCCGCGCGGGCACGAGATGTCCTTGATTCCTCTCCAGGATTTTCTCCGACTGATCAGAGCGAAATGGCCAGACCTGGCGTCCGCTGCGTGACAAACGCCCGGTCTTGGATAGCGATTCAGGTCGTTGCGATGTGATTTGATCAGGCTGCCTCGATGACACGGAACTACCATCCTTGAACGCGTCGACCTCAAGCATTTCCCGAAACGGAGAATCCATGTAGACAATGGAGAAACGTTGGAATTCGAAGCTCCATGCCTGATTATCACTTCCGTTTCGTCCGGAGCCATCTCTCTTATTGTGAGCTGCATATGAGATTCACGGAATGAGTCCTCTCAGCTGTGGAGAAAGTAATAAGACACCTCAATCATCCGGAGCTTCTGTGCTCAAATCACTGATCTCCTTGGATTCTCTCCGCCTCGAGAACTGACGGGGTTATCGACCGAGTTTTCAGCAGCAGCATGTATATAGTCGCCTTTTTCGGTCGCCAGTGCAGGATTCATCGCTATCCGGCTCTAGGGCTGGGAGGTGGGAATTGGAAGGTAGGATATTGATTACTCGACCCACCGGGGGTAGCCTGAGAGTATGAGTGTCCGAAGGGTCGCGGGCGGATTCTTCGTATACTATCCTGCTATTGTTCTAAATTCCAAATGCAACTCGCTACAATCGTTCCATCCTGTTAATGAGCTGCACCTCTTGGCCGTTGCGGGGGAACCGCTCATTCACAAGCTTGGGAATCGGTATCCGACGATCGGGAAAGCTCCGGGAGGCATGACGAGGGAGCGTTGTAAATTCTATAATACATGTATCATCAAGCCACAGCTCACGCGAGCTCCTGTCTGTTCGCAATCGAGCTCGCATGAGAATCTCGGCAACCTCTCCTCGGCCGCATTGCATTCGTCATTCGCCTCGCATGCCATGCCATGTTCTGGAGGCTGTCGCAATTCGCGATGCCACCCTATGAGCATCGCCCGGCTCGGACCGCCTCGACGTCTGTACACGGCTTCCTTGAAGAAATCCCGGAGTATGGCTCTTTCTCAATGGCTGAGGAGCGCAAATCGGGAATCTGAAAGACAGCGATTGCCTTAAGGGCATCCCCAACATGCGAATTCTCTCCGAGACATATGCGGGACTCACATAAGCACAAGGCATATATGGTCGAGATTCGGAAGCGCTCCTCTCACCCCAAAGCCATCGATGGTGTGTATGTGGTCTGGTTCCAGAAGTGGAGCGAAGCGAAGTGGGTAGCTCCGTAGTAGCGCTCCAAAGTACCGCTTGATCGAAGGGATTCTATTGTGGAATTTGCGTTCAGGTAGAAAGAATATTGAATGGGGTCAGGTCTTCGCCGGCATCTTTATTATCACATACTCGAGTGTATACCGGACACTACGGATACGGATGAAGGTTTTATATTTACAGTGTGCACACATGCTCAGGCTACTGAGAGTCAGACTCAAGCCGTCCACTTGAGGCACCGGGTCTCCTGGTGGACGTCCAAACAGTTCTTGGCGCAATATCGCGCGCCACAGGAAACGCACGTGTAAATTCCGTACATCCCGCAAACGGCGCAGAAGTATCGTTTCGGAAATTTGGAGGCAGGAGCCGCTGCCGTCATGTAGTTCGGAGATTCCGTGCCGAGAGCTCGGTCCTCTTCTAGCAAGGCCGCGAGACTTTTCTTGAAGCGGACCTGCTTGAAATCACGAGCACTTTTCCGCTTCCCGGGTCGGTCTTTCCGCTCGGTATTGAGAGAGTCCTCGAACTTGGGCGCTTTCTTGTTCATGATCAGGTTGGCATGAGGATCTTCATGGTAGTTGTCTTGCTCGAGAGCATCGAGCGCTTTACGAGATCTCCTGTTACGCTGGGCTTCGTCCAGTACGACACGGTCGCCTCGTTTTTCCTTCTTCGTGCTCTGCTCCATGGTGGACTTGAGCTCGATTCACAGCACGGAAAATGCTGCTCGGCCGCGAATCACTTCACTTTCGTCTCGAACAACAGATGATAGTTCCGTTCATTTCCCGCTTTCGACATTCGATTCGTGCAGTAGCGCAGAGCTGCTCCAGCAGCACGAGAGAGTCAACATCAACGACCCAATTGTTTACAACGAGCAGCGCCCTCTACCGAGGGCCTGTTCCCGTGGAGAATTTGGTGGTGGTGGTAGCGTCAATCAGACTCCAAAGGAAGAACTAGCACGGCTGGGGAATGGCGCCGAGAAAAAAATACCTAGATCCGGGAACTTTTCTCAGCATGGTCTATCGATCAAAAGATGAGAGTAGGGACGAGGGTCCAATCTTCAAGCGCCAGAGTCAGGAAATGCTCGCTTCTATGATTGCCCGATTTCTGTTGAGAGATCGTACAAAAATTGGCATCGGATAGAGTTCCGCTCCATCAAGGATCGTTGTTTCGGACCTTGATGGATTTTTCGGAATCACTAACTCGATGAGTGCATCGAGGTGATTTGGTGATGGCATCATCAGCTCTACAACTGGATGGCGTGTTATGGTATATCAGCTGAAGCTGTCATTCCGCCGTCCGGCCTTCTCACTCAGCTTTTGTCGTCGAACTACCTCGGGCGCCAAGATTCTGTAGCGCCCCCTCTATAGGAGTATTCCTCCCCATTGACATGAGGGCACAATTGGAAGGAGGGAGAATTCCGCCAGTGCCTGAATGAGTCTACCGCAGATTCCTGCGGATTTCCGCGTCTGAATGGTCGAATCGTCACAGATAACTCTATATTCCCTCCGGCGATTCGGTATTCCGAATTTTTATTCGGAGCCCACGCAACCGAAGGAAACTTCCTGGCGATTCAGATCTTTCGCTTCGACATCTACAACCTCTCCGGGCGACCATCATACGAGACTCCAAAGCAGCCGATACGCCGCATGCGAGCGACATGGTCATCAAGTCGGAGGAAAACGCTGTGGGGATGTCTGGAGGCCATTATATCTGCTTGTGGATATTCGGTTGAAATACTTGTGAGCGAATTCTCGTTCACGTCACTCGCTAGAAGACTGAAGCCCGGTTCCGGGCTAGAACTGTGCGGCGAGCTGCTGCTTCGTCATGAACGCGTAATCCCGCAGGGAATCGGAAACGCTTGGTACCCTAACCCAAACTTTTCAATGATTCGGAAAGCCTTATTCCAATCATCTGGGGGAGGATGAGATTTTTCCGAGTTATTTCTCGAGACCATACACTACGTAGATGGATATGCGCAGCTTACGATAAGTCTCAGGGATTTCGCGCGGCAGCTTTGAAACTTGTCCGCGGTCGACCTAGAGCGCCCCCTGGACAAGGAATATCGTCCCGTCGAGGTTTCTGAAATGACTCGGCGAGTCAAGGCTGGGATTCGATTCTGAGCTGACTCCACCGATGCGGAGCCAGGTGGTGACAACGACAGACTGCACGTACATGCCCCCAGCGCCCAACGACTGCATCGCAGTCAAAGCTCTATGAGCCTCTGAGCGAAGCCGAGTGGGAGGAATTTCGCGCCAAAATTTCAAAATGTCTGCGGGTTGTGCGAGCTGTGGTGAGCGATGTTTCTCCAATGAACGTAACCCGTGTGCGATTGGGAGTTCGATGTGATTTCAGAGGACGTAAGTTCAAACTTCCTTTCGCCATCGCCACATGGAGCTGGGCGACCGCCAGGCAAGGCCAGGGAAAAGCTCGGCTACATGATAGGAGCCGACTTTTGCAAGTGGCGTGTTATGCTTGCTGACAGCTGAACCTATTTCGCCAATCGGCCGCCCAGACAAGTCGCTCGAAGAATTGAGGCCGGCGCCCTTTGCGTTAGATGGCGACTTTCGGAACAGCGCGAATCCGTCCTTGTCACACCTGGTCGGACCATCATTTTGACGGGAAATGCCTTTGGCGCTGGAGCCGAAACGGCGATCGGATCCGCTGTTGATATCAGCTCTACGCGGGCTGGCGATCCCGATTTCCTGAGGCTAGAGAGAGGATCATACTCATGGGGAGCTATTTCCCCTATCTCTCGCAAAAGCTATCATTCAATCATCGTGTGATCCGAGAACTCAGGGGTCCGCGTTCATTTCACCCCGGACGTGATCTCGATCTCGTCGGCCTATGCAAGGCATGGGTAGCAGATCTAAGTTCGCGAGCTCCAATATGGAGACTTCGCGCCATTTAGGGGCACACTATGCTTCCGGGAGCATTTAAGTCCCGAAAGATGCCGAGACAAATTACCATGTCGATGCGGAGGATTCAATATCGACGTGACTGAGTTATTTCTCCTGAATTGTTTGGGTCGCATCAAGATTGAAGAATCTATTCCTTCGGTAGCGCACGATGGCAGAGCCGATGCAAGGCGTGGAAGGCGATGTCGTCAATCCTCAGCAGCTGCAGGTTGTGCAGGTCCTGGGTGATTGTGCGCTCGTCGGGAACGACAGTCAGCATATTTTACTCGATCCTGATCAAGCGGACTACGATATCGAGTCTCCCGAAGTTGGTGAGGAGGGGGGATCTCGGAAAAGATCTCGGAAACCACTGTTGGCTCTGAGCGTCCGCGAGAAAACGGCTATCTGCAGGTGAATTTCCGTTCCTTTCTGTTATCTACCGGCCGCCCCGGTGAATGAGCTGTATTCAACTTTCGGACATCGATACGCTGCGTTCCCTGATGATGTTCCCTTCATCGGAGCTTCCGCTCTGAGCGATGAGTAACGACCGATTTCATTTCAAGATACAAGGCCCAACATCCGCAGAGCAACCAGCGTCAAATCGCAGAGCACTTCACGAAGTTGTGGGGCAAAGATATTTGTCGACGAAGAGTCAGCGACATCTTGGTGCAGAAGGACAAATGGTTCGACGTCGAGCGTCGCGTGAAAGGCGACGCAGACAAGACCTTCAGGGACGGAAAGTTCGCCCAGTTGGAGAAACACGTTTTCGACTGGGTTACCGAAGTCGCTAGGTGAGCGATGCTTGCCGTGATGGCAGAGTGAATAATAATCGATGATGATCTAAGCTCCCCATTGATTAATTTCATATCGCAATCTTCTTCCTCAAGGTCCGGGGGGCGGCTATGGGACGAGGACATACGACGAACGGCCAAACGAATGGCGGAGATGCAAGACGTGAAGTCTTTCGTGGCTTCTGCTGGCTGGCTCTCCGGATTCAAGAGACGTTACGGCTTGAAGGCCGTTGAGGAAGGCGGCGACATCCAGTTGGACTTCGCTCCCGAGCCCTCGAGTAGCGAGTTTTCACAGAGGTGTGTTCCTTTGAAGCTAATACCACATGTCGCCGACACCGCTGTAATGGCGAATTGATCATCATCCGGACGTCTGATTATGCTTTTCCTAATTCTCCATGAAGTTCCGAATGCCTCTTGGACTAGGATCGAGACGGTATTCTGTCTGACTTTCTCCTTCGTCCGCAGAGATGAGAACCAGATACAGCTTCAGGGCAATGATGGTCAGCAGTACACCGTCAACATAACCGTCGATAACCCTCCTCACGCTCAACAACAGAGTCAACCTTCAATTAGCATGACATCCCAAATGGCGAGAAACGCGGTCGTCGAAGACGCGAATCTCTCCGATATCGAGACGGGAGAAAGTGGAGACGAAGAACAAGACGTAAGTCCTGATCTGGAAGATGAATTGAGAAGGGACTTCAGTCGGCTCGATTCTGGCTCCAGATCCAGATGCCAAGGGAAATCGGAACGAGGAACCCCTCTCCCCCCTGATTTGGACAAACTTGCATTCCAGCCCTCGATCACCATCCAACCACAGAACTTGAACAACCCCGCCGTGAACGGTGAACAAAATATGGCACTCGACGACTTAGTGAAAACCATAATCTATGGAGGTTCCTCGACCTCGGCCCAAGTGATGACGGCGGCCGCAACCCAGGCCGCTTTGAGCCAAGACCAGTACGTAGTACAGAAATTTTCTGAACGAGGATTTTCATCGTGAGAGCAATCAGCGAGTTTGACTTAATTCTCATGGAAAAATCAGGTACAGCTACCAGGATACCGCGCACAACGGATCGGGATCGCCTCCCCTAAAAGGCCGAGCGGCAACTAGAGCGAAAATGACCGCGGTTCTCGTTCGCAAGGTTCTGGTAGCCACGAAGCGGAAGCTCGACGCCGAAGCCGATATGATTCGGGAACAGCGGCAACGTCATTTCTATGAAGGAAAAATGCTCGAAGAAAAACGTCGGAGGTGAGTTACGACGAAGACGAAGCAGCATAGCACCAATCTGGGAAGTTTTCTCCGGCCGAATCGAACTGATCGAGTCTTTGTTCGCAGATTGGTTGAAGAACGTGAATTAATCGCGGCGCAAAAGCGAAAGCTCGACAACGAGTCCAAGTATCTCCAGGAACAGCAGAGAAACGAAGTCATCAGACGCGAGTTGCTCCTGGCAGATGTATCGGCAGCCAGAGGCCAAGGCAACCTGAAGCAGAATAAGGTCCATTCAGCGGCGCCTGTTCCGATCGCGGTGAATCAACCGAAAGCCAGCTATGTAACCCTCGTCACCGGTTCATCGGAGTGAAGATGAGTGAGCTCGTCCGCGTGACCTCCGGTTGGGTCTCCAGAGTCGACTCATACGGTCTTGTGTCATCTTCATCCCCGCTGACGGGGAGGCTGAGTCGTGTACGGTGTCTTGTTGTATATAGTCGGAAATCCGTCAGGATCAGAGGATTGAGCCTTTGAAAGGAGCTCGCGATGGCAGGTTCGAAATCATCCATGACGATCCCAAATGATGGCGATCTTGGGTACTGGCATTGAGCCGCGGAATCTCCGAGTGCTTCCGGCACGCTAAAATTGTATAATGCTGCTATAGCATGAGAGGAGAATATATTGCATGGAGAGGATACATGGAAAACTTATGAGAAAGACTTACCAAATGTTTTCGGAATAAATAAATGTATGATACTATAATTGAGCTGTCATTTCGGATTTGCGCTCGGTGCCGAAACCAACCCAGCGATATCTTCATTTATTACGATCATTGATTCGTCTGGACCTGGAAACTTGCGGGCCCGACTTTCGGAGGGTCCAAAGTCCCGAGGGGGACAGTCATGGATCCGGTCGGCAGCTTCGCCAGGGTAAAGTGGCGTGCCCAGGGGGGGCGCTAAAGATCTCTTTCTGGCCCATAGAGCTCCATGTTGAGGCTCATCTTCCTCGGTAGTTAGCTCCTACCAAAGCAATGGCCCTGCCCCCTTCCCCCCCGCCCCTACAAAAACCCTGGGCACGCGCCTGCCAGTGTATATGAGGAGGCAAACGGGACTTCTCATAAGAAATCTCATCTGCCGAACAGAATGGTTCCCGATGCGCGCAAGATGGTCTGATACAATGGGCCCAAAGGCGGCCCCGGCTCTGACTCATGGACCGAGACCCATCAGCAACTTCATCCATTCGGACCGGCCCGACGAACCTTTCGAATCTGTCTGCCCGGAAATAGATATTCTTCCCGACTTCCATCCATCGGTTGAATCTTTGTGGAGATCGCACTTGGCGCTTCTTCGAAAACGAGACTGGTTGATTCCTCCTGTTTATGGACGCTCCGATGTCCGAGCTCCCTTTCACTTGTCCTACATGGGTAAATGTTCTATCCGGGAACCCAAGGCAGGCCCTGTGGCATAGCCGACCCACCACCTCGGAGACGGAAACGTCGAAGCGACGTGGAGTTAATTCGGACACAAAGGCCTAATTTATGCGATGGAATCGATCCGGAACCCATGACATTCGCAGTCGGTGACAGACCCTAAAAAGATAGTGCTCTTGTCGGACTCGTCGGAATATTCCGCTCGTTACCTTCATTTGGCGCCATCCTTCGCGGTAACTTCAGATCCAAGATGGCGCGGCCGATGCAGTGCTCTACATCCAGCTGATCCCGTCGCTGTCTCAGACTACAGTAGCATCCCTGGCCGGATGATATTCCTCGGAGCCACCGTGACCGGCTCCGGTGCGTGCTTTCCCTCGTGAGCAATAACAAGGAACTCATATGGTGCTATTCAGGCGGGAATCCGAGTCGAGGAGCTTGAAAAAAATCCGCGACTATCGGTCATCCGACAGTGTGAAGTGACAAACCCCATCTGCCGGGCGCCATGTGACGACAGTGTTCCGATTTGCCAGGGACACGATAATTCCGTGATCACGGAAGAACGGGAAGCGAATCGGAACGTGGAAACTCCCTCGGAAGCCGTCTCTCCCTCAACAGAATGAGCTTTGAAACTCCCCTCCAAGAGAAGAACATGATCATGAAATCGAAACTTTTCTGTTGGGTCACAGTTCTCGCAATCTGGACATTCATTTTCACGTTCTACTATTTGACGTATTTCGGTGAGGAGAAAGTCCGTTTGAAAACCCGCTTCGAAGCCGCCAGTCTCACAGGCAACATATCTGACAAGGTTTGTGAGAGACGCACCTTAACCGCATCCAATGTCTATTCGGGATCGGATACTTGGACGACAAGCGCTCGAGGGCTTGACACGGAAGATGTCGCTCCATCCAGAGATCGCTTAACAAGATCGATCTCGATTCTAATGAAAATGAATCTATGTCTCCGGAACAATATTGAAGATAATGCCGATCGAACCGTGACGAGACCAATTCGCAGGTGATCGATTTCGGGAAAACGGAGGATATCTTCAAGCTTGGCCTCATTCGGAACTCCCAGGATCAGCAAATAAAGACCGAAGGATATAGACAACACGCTTTCAACACGCTGGTCTCCGAGCGGATCGGGCTCCGACGACGAGTGCCTGACACGCGTGATGCGCTATGCAAACAGCAAAAGTGAGAGTTCAGCTTTTCCGGAAGGAGACTCGAATAATCTGGGGAAGAAAATCATCCAGAAGAGAAAATCCATCTGCTCTGATCTGTAGATACCTTTATTGAAGCTTCAAGAGAGGAGTAATATTTGGTTCTTATCTGAAGGTATTCTAAAGACTTGCCGCGCGCCTCGGTCATCATCTGCTTCTACAATGAAGCTTGGTCCACTCTCATACGCACCGTGAATTCCGTACTCGACCGGTCACCCTCAGCGCTTCTCCAGGAAATTATCCTCGTGGACGACCTATCTGACATCGCAGAACTTGAACCCCTGGCCGGTTTCGTTCAGAAACACGAGAAGGTCAGCTTCTCCGGGCATATCCGGATACATCCGATTTCGCTCTTTCGCACGAATGAATCCGCTGCATCGATTTAGTTCAACGGGGTTGATAATCCTAGCGATAATACGCAAGCACCAAGCTCTGAAAAATTGTTCTTGTCCCACAGGTTCGTGTAATTCGAACTCGCGAACGCGAAGGCCTGATAAGGGCGCGAATGATTGGAGCCCACAACTCGACCGGGGACGTTCTGGTCTTTCTGGACAGTCACGTTGAAGTTAACGAACGATGGTTGCAGCCGTTGCTCGTTCCGATTCAGCAGAACCAAACGACGGTCACGTGTCCTGTCATCGACATCATCAACGCCGACACATTCGAGTACTCCCCTTCCCCCCTCGTGAAAGGTGGTTTCAACTGGGGCATGCATTTCCGCTGGGACAATCTGCCAAAAGGCTACTTCAAAAGCGAAAAAGAGCGCATTGCGCCTCTGCCCTCGCCGACGATGGCTGGTGGCTTGTTCGCGATTCACAAAGATGAATTCCGACGTCTGGGAGAATACGACTGGGGAATGGACGTGTGGGGGGGCGAGAACCTGGAACTCTCGTTCCGAATCTGGATGTGTGGCGGGAGTTTGAAAATTATGCCATGCTCGAGAGTCGGTCACGTTTTCCGTAAACGACGACCGTACGGAGCATCGAACGGAGAGGACACCTTAGCAAAAAACTCTCTCAGGGTCGCAAACGTCTGGATGGACGACTATAAGAAGTATTACTATAGGATGCGTCCCGATCTCAAGGATATCGATTTCGGCGACATTTCGGCTCGGGTCGAGCTGCGCAATAGGCTCAAGTGCAAATCGTTCGATTGGTACCTGAAAAATATCTACCCCGACTTGCAGTTACCGTCCAATCGCACAGGACTGAGGAACGTGAACCTCTACAAACGTAAACAGCCAACAATGACCGGGAAATTCCAGATTCGGGTAGACAAACTGTGCGTTCAGAGTCAGGACAGTATTTTCCGTCGAGGCGGAGCGTTCGTACTGCAGAAATGTGACCCGCATAGCAAGAAACAGATGTGGTTCGAAACGGAGAAGCACGATCTGCGGCTCGGGAATCTTTACTGTCTCGATGTCGGAACGAAATCTATGCCGAGATTGAAAAAGTGCCACGAAATGGGAGGCTCGCAAGACTGGCGCTACTCGGCGCAATACGGAGCGCCGCTCTACAACATGGCGAGTGGTCTGTGCCTCGGAGCAGAGAAAGTCGCTGAAGGTCAAAAAGTCACGATGGAGATCTGCAGTTCGGACAAAGCCTTGAAATGGGACTTCGTGCCCATTAAAAAAGCCCGTGACGGCTTCTGAGTCACTTCTCGCTCATCGCGCTCTGTCTTCGTAGCAGCTCAAGTCATGTTCGAAATAATCAGGGAATCGATTGTGTTCATATGGAAGAGCTGCGGATTTCCAATCTTAGACTCTCTCATGACTCGGTCGTCGGTGGTCAGCCTCTCGGGTAGATTCAGAGGAGAATCATGACGTAGTGCCAGAAATTAGGCGTCGAGGTTTTTATATTTCCTACGCAGCACTGGAGACGGCTATCACTCAAACACCCGTCTCAATCGCCGAACTCTAGTAACTGCCTTTTTCTACGGGATTTTCAAGATGTAGGTCAGCAGCAGCGTACATACATCGTGGTCGCTGGAATGACGCGGAGCACTGGATATCGAAGATCACCGTTCATAATCGGACGTTTCCTAGAGAACATTCAGCGTATCCGGAAACTCTCGCCAGGTTGGCACTTAGACTTGCGCCTCCTGGATTTTGCGCCCGGACGCCCTCGACGCACTGTCCCGGCCGGCCCCCACCCATGTTCGTGCTCTCGCGGCCCCCGCCTCTGCTCATGCCCTCGCGGGCCGAGCTCCCGATGGAACCATGAACCGAAGCCTTTGTGAGCTTACGGCCGCTCGGGTGACGAATACGGGATGAGTGGACGATCAAACGGATGGAGATCGTCTTCTACCACTTGTTAAAATTAGATTTTCAATAAATTGATCAACGAACACGCGCCGTCATAATTGTAATAGAATATCGATTCCCCTCCTCCTTCTGCGAAGTCCGCCTCCTGCCCACTTCTGGGTGGGCCTGATTGGCTTCCGGATACTTCACGGGAATGTTCTGACGTTCAATGAGGAACTCTGGAAGAAGTCGCGATTCAGCACTCAAGTCTTTGATTGAAAACAATCCTTTGCTTTTTGCTAAGTGGGAGTGCTCCGTTTTATTTGAATTATCAATATCAGATTTACAACGCGATATATACATCCCCGATGTTACTCTCTTTCGACGAATAGCCCGGATATGTAGCGGCCTTGTCTCCAATAGATCTCGCAACCTCGAAATTTGGTTCCCGGACCATCTCCATAACCGCCGATCTTCGTCGCAGCCACTCGTCTCAAAAGTAGGCTCGATGAGGGGGAATTGAGAATCTGAGCGTTCTGTGCCGGTCGGAGCCTGCTTGTCGTTCATGAAACACCCTCAAACGAGAGGGTCGCGATCTTTCGTTAATTCCTCTCTATCGCATATATCCCAGTGACAGACCTCCTACGGAGTTTTCGCCGGATCTTCGTTGGGATCTTCCCTAGAACTGTCCTCCCGGGAGACCGGCTCCTTCCCCTACTCCCGTTTTTAAGAGTTATCCTCTGTCATGAGCACGCAACACTGCCGCCCCTCCTCGTCGATGGAGAGGAAGAGTCCTCCTCATTCTACCAGTTTTTCGATCGATCACCTCCTATCACTTCCACCGCCGAATGCGTCGCAATTCTCCCTCCCAAGCTCATTTTGCCGCCGAGACATTACGCATCCCTTCTGGGAACTCCAAAGGGAGTGCGACCATAGATATCTCGAGACGCAGTCGACAAGGCCGGAGTCTGCCCTCGTTCTCGCATCCAAGAGAAGTTGAGGGAGAAACAAGAGCCGCTTTGTGATACATTTTTGATTCCTGTCTTTAGCCCCGTTGAAGATTATGCAAAGCCACCGATCATGAATGAGAGAATTTTCGAGAAAAAGAGTTGAGTGAATCAAAAAACCATATTTTAAATATTCTGCGTCGCAATACAATTCATGAAGGCTCCATTCATGGCATTCCTTCCAATCGACCCGTCGTTCGTGAGGTTTCTATCCATCATGAATCATCATCGTCAGTCTTTCCAGCCCGAGAAGCGAATTTCAACCTTGGCGACGTGAGCTCTCCCCGGCGGATTGGATCAATAGTGTTTCTGCTGCAGGTGGTTGTGGTCGTGAACTCGATCCTTTGAAAGCCTAGCGCTTGCCGAGCCCGGCCCGCGTATACACAAATAAAATATATGTAGTAGTTACATACAGCGAGAAGTCGCGGCACTCCTTTCGTCCATGGAGGACTAGAGCGTTTCAACATCCGGAAGAGTGCTGCTTGCGACGCGTTACCTCATTTTTTTTGCTGGTTGTTGTCGTTTCGAAACGGCTAACCGTGGCTATTCTGAATTAAGTTCTGCGCCTCTCTCGAGACTGCTGTCTGAAGATAAAGCTCTCGAAATTTTTCCCCGCGTCGACTCTCCGAAGAGCTCTACTGTACCTCTCACCCTACGACTCGGTTCTCCTCCGCCGCGTCGTACATTGTTCATCTGTTGAAGGTTTCTTTTCCCGCTAATGCGAATCGATGCTATACTCCGAAAGGCGGTGTGATCAATAATATCCCGCTCAACTAATTGCAGCAACCGTTTCCTCAAATTGTTCATCAATATCTCTTTCTAATTCGCTTGCTTTGTTGGTCGGTCGATCTGTCTGTCGGTCGGTCTATCTTTCTTGCTCTCTATCGGCTAATCCGTCAGTCAGACAGTCAGTCAGTCGGGCAGGTAGGCAACAGAACGAGCCCAGTCGCCTTTGGTAACGAAAGGTTTTAATCGTTGTATTGGTCGAGAATCCCAGTAGAAGGCAACGCATGGGTACAAACAGAGTCGTCTATCACAAACACGAGTTGGATCTTGATCGGCGAAAACTTTTTTTCTCGCTTCCTCGTCCCCCGTCGCTTCACATACTCGTCTCTCTGTCGTAATTTCGAGTCCCCGTCTCTCATGAAGAAGCTACCTATTAGACTGGCTTGTGTTTGTTTGTTGGTTGTTGTTTGTCGGATTTCGTCATGCGGTAATCTCCAGATGGGAGCCAGGCTGCCCGTCTGTCGGTCCGATGTTTGAATCGAGGAAATGAATTTACATATCTCTAGTTCGGAACTCGGTTCACTTGCAGCCAGGGGTGTTGCAGCGCTTGATCGGCTGACACTCGGAACTTGACGTCGTACTCGAGCATCGGTCTCAGGAAGTCTGCGAACGCCTGCGCATCCTCCATAGACCAATCGTACTTTTCGGTCAAGACTTCTGTCAGACCCCAAGGTTTGAGCTTGGTGATGTGTCGGAGCTGACCCTTCTTATTGAAGAACTCGTGAGAGTATTTTCCTGCGAAAAGAAGACGGATCCGTCAATCGAATTCGCCATGGGTCTGAATCGATAAATGGAACGGATGGGCTTCCGACTCACCAGAGAACGCAATGCCGCGGGGCATTTCACCGAGCAGCTCGATGACGTGCGCGAGGTGATCCTCGTCCCTTGAGTAATCGGCCCCGGAGTGCGGTTCAAATAGGTAGTCTCCAGTGGCGAGCTCGAACGCCATGCACGCCGTAGACCAGATATCGGCAGCGGTGCCGTATCCAGAACCGAGCAGAACTTCTGGAGATCTATATTGACGGGTCTGTATGTCCTCCGTGAAATGATGATGCACCCAGCAGGCATTACCCAGATCTTTAAGGAACATGGAAGTCTCGTCAATTATGATATCTTCGAAATATTAATTGTTATTTCCAAGTATAATCAGTAGTAGGTATTAGTAAGCATCAGCAAGTATAATAATTATTATTTACAAGTTTAGGAAATAATAATTATTTTTCCTCAACTTGGAAGTTCGAGGCCAGGACGCTCGCAAAAACGTGAGGTTCGGTACATGGGCACGAATCGACAGCACACTCACCCGCGATCTTGACTTGAAGGTTGGGGCAGTCCTGTCTAACAGGGTCCGGTTGCGGCGGCGGTAGGGATCGCCGACAAGACGACTTGCCGGATCCTTGAGCGGCCGCCGCTTGCGTCTCTGGCATCGAGGCGACTCTCCGGAGTTCGACCTGAGAATTGGCCTCCTGCGACACTGGTTGAGTGGAAGCATTCTGAACAGAGAGTCTTCCAGGTGATAGGCCCACTTGGGGTCCGAGGAGTACCGTCTCACTCCGTTCCAACCGTCGCTCTCCACTGCTTCCTTCCGGCCGGAGGAGCGACGGAGATTTGGATCCTTGCTTGGAGGGAGATTTTGACGAATCTTTGGATGAGTTTTCCTCTCCCTCGGGTTTCTTCTCCCACCAACCGGGCTCTTTGCCTTCCGCCCAGCCCGAAGCCTCCTGCATCACCTGCGAATCCGAAGGCTGACAATCAGATCCATTGAGCGAGCACACCATCACCGGAGTTTGCCTAATCCCCGACAAGAGAAAGCATGTTGAAGTGCCTAAACGATAACCTCAAGACGGACCCGCCCTCGCATGATGGATGATGATATCATTATATTTCAGCATAGATAGTGAATGATAATAAAATAATCTTTCTCGAGAAGAACCCGCCATTCCGAGTTTTCGGAGCACGCCTGGCACAAACAATCGGGAAAGAATTGATTTCCTAACCACATTGCTTGCATCGATTTCGATCGATATCGGTAGTTCAATGTAGAAAGTCAATCTTGATATCGTAATATTTCGATCTTAACGATGAAAATAATATCATGAGTATAGGGCGAGACTCATGAGTCCGCAATTCGAATGTTGGGCCTTGCGGACGGAAGCGGAGCACTCACCATGTACTGAAGCTCTTTGCGTTTAAAATCATTCTGGCCGTCCATGTCCAGGTTGTTTTCAGTGCCGTTCGAAGCGTTGGCTTCAGTGGTCAATGGACTCATCGGTTCCTCATCGTCCTCGTCTTCTTCCTGTTTCAAGTCCATCCTCTGGAGGGATGCCATCTCCTTCTCGATTCTTTCCTGATTTTTCTTGGCTTTTTTGCGGAGTTGTTTCTTTTTGTTCTTGGACATTTTCTCACCGTTGGCCGATACTCTCATCTGCTGCACGTCTGGAGGTGCCGTACAAACAAGCGAAGCGGGAAGGCGAAGGCCCATCTTCTGCCACTGGGTTGCTTCGTAAGCCAGTCTGGAATCCAGAGCTCGCGGTCAGAAGTTTGGTCAAGCGTGGTCGCGGGAATCGGCTAACAGGGATCTCCTCTTGAGCGCAGATGAAGCGATGTCAAATGGAACAAGAAACAGAAACAACGGATCCAGTAGCGGGCACCTATCCGCTCCGAACTTACCTTCGGATGTGTGTTTCATTGACACAGACGAGAATATTTTCCGGTTTTATGTCTGTGTGAATGATCTTACACTTCTGATGCAGATAATCAAGGCCTTCGAGCACCTGCAAGGAGGAACCCCAGATGAGCTTCTCTATTCCTCCGAGACTTTCTGAGAGAATCGGCGATGAGAAATTCCGACGAATTCTAGCCGATGGGCGCGAACGACTTCACGATACCAGTTTCTTCCCTGACACAAAAAGTAATTGTCACCGAAGCCAGCGCTGAATCGGTCCCCAGATGAGCCCATGAGGAACGACTTCCCTACTTTTCCCTCAAGGAGCGAATCCGAAAAAAAACCTGGCCAGCTCGAACGCGTTGCGGGAGGGACAATTTCTGGAGAAACTAGACTTTTCTTCTTGGAAAGTTATCCCTGCGCAGGGCCCCTCAATCCCACGAACGGGAAAATTGACAATGGAATGACTGCTGTTGACTCCGCACGGTGTCTGTGAAATGCGATGGCTGGGAAGTCCACGTGACCCATTACGGAGTCGACTCGTACCACCGAGAACTTTGAGCGATTCATCGCAGGAGGTGATCAATGAGAGGCAGACGCGAGAGATAACGGTTCTCGAGTAGGAATAACAGGAGTTGCAAGAAGCTCAGCGAGAGCTCATGATGAGGAGTAAATCACCTACACGTCATCAAGTGCAATAGATGAAATGACGGATACAATGGGTCAACGGGACAGTAGCCCCGAAACAGGAGATAGAACAGGGAACAGGCCAGTACGACCATCTTATCAGCTCCTGTTTTGAATTATTTGCCTCCGCAAAGCCAGTCGAAGCGAAAAGGCACGACACGTCTGAGCAAGTCAGTCTTTTTGGGAATGCTCCCACACGTCAATGATCGAGATAGCACGGAGATAACGACCCGGGTCACAGCGCGGACCCTGATTATGATCGACACATCGTGCGAAGAAGCCGAACGGGTCGTCTGAACGGACTGAGCTGGTCAACAAAGGATTTCAGTCGGAACGTGGAAGGAAGCTCTTGTGTATCGTCTATCCACTGCGGCTTTTCAAGTGAGCCGGCATCACAGATAAATCATGAAGCTCCGTTGGCTCGTGGCCGAAATCATCCGGTCCGTGCTCGTTTCTATCGACGGGAGAAAACTAGAGGCGGATTTGAATGGGATTGGATCCTCTCATTCCTGTCGACCGACCGGACGAGTGGGTTTCAGTCCCTAATTGATGCCCGACCAATCAAGCCTCCATCATCGTATATGGCGCGGATATTGACAAGCGTTCCAAGCATGGCCGGGTACAGTTTGACGGATCATTCAGCAGTGCCAAGCTGGGATCCACGGAAGAAACGGCTTCGCTTCTTCTACGCGGATTCTGCTCTTCCGAAGAGACGGGAGGGCATTCCGGTAAAACTGCCGGCTTCGTCGAAAAGAGCAAAAAGTTCCTGCGACGCAGTGCATCATGATGGAACTTCGACTTCAATCCCTTCTCATCAAACTCAGGTGATGCACCAAGAAGTAATGCTGGACGCTTCGTGCAGAAGCTTTTCAGCGAAACGGGCTGCTCTGGAATTTCCGACAATGGTTTGTACAATGGAGGAAAATGAAACAAGGGGCGATAATGGGAGGAAGAAAGCAAAACGACGGGGAGAGACCATCACTCGCAAGCGAGAAAAACATGGAGAAAATGAGAGGAAGAGCTTTTCGGGTCAACTAGCCATCACCAGGAAGCGGCGGCTTTGTCCAAGAATGGTTCCGTCCTTAAGCGTCGAGGTGAGCGTTCCAACAAATGAATGGTATCTCCAGACATTTATGGGATCTATCTATGAGCCGGAAATCAAATCACGGCTCGTCTGGTTTTTAGAAGAACAGATGAAGCGACAGAAAGAAGATGGACGATACGGCGAACTCGAAAGACAAACTTCGATGAGCAAGGTTTTGATCGGGGGAATTCAGAGTAGCGGGAACGTCCTCCTGTAGAAGAGGAATCTGAAGGCTTTTTGCATCCGCTCATGAAACCATTTGCTCGGATTTACCCGATGAAGATCGGCGACTTTCTTCGCAGCCTGTAGTATTCCCGATTCGTCTGGCGAGACTCGGAAGCGGTTCGAAAGCGGCCGCCGCCGCGGCGTAGTCATCTTCGTCATGCTGCACGGTATTCGGCTTCTTTGAGTTTACGTTACGATCGAGTGGGCGTCTCCAGCGACTCAATACTCATCAAATTTCGACACAGAATTTTTTTCTCGCCGCCACGGAATCTTCGGAAACATTCGTCTCCCACACTTTACCCCTGACGTCTGTTTCGAAAACCTGTGTATGTACGACGGGTGCCAGGAGTCCTCAAAGGAATCTTCTGCGAGATCACGCGAATCTCAAACTGGACTTTCAGGGATGCTTTTCGGAGGTTCTTGCGATTTCTCCCCGCTCGCTACTCACCTGTCGCATGATGATTTTCACATTGTTGATCGGAATGCCTTGGTAGTTGCTGCGGATGATGAGTTTAAGCAGATTGTGTCCCAAAACCTCGAAAACCATGCAAACGTGGGTTCCATTCTGTCCTTTGATTTTGAAGTCATCGAGGAGCTGAACTACGGAATTGCGCGCTCGCTCAGCGCCATCGCTTTCTCTTACACAACGCAACAAATTTATCTCATCGAGAGCCGTTTCTGTGTAATGCGGGGCCGCTTTTACCACTTTGAGGGCGACAAATCTGGAAAAATATTCAAATTATGAATTTGGGATTCTTCTCAATATTTGTCAATATGTAACAACCGCGAAAGGTCCGGAGACCATATCTATTCAAGTCCTGTCCCGAAGAAGCATTTCCAGGGAGTAAAAAACTGCGTAGAAAGGCGAAGATTGAATATATTCTCAGACGTATGATCAAGCTCGTCAATCAATGCCAGGGCAAACTGAACGGAGCATCTGAGTAAACAGAGATCATCAATTGCGGGCCTGAACACGCCTAGTTGAACAACAACGGCGGCATCAAAAGTCAATTTCGCTAAGCCCTAAATATACAGCGTGTTCTGATAGGACACTACAGCGCAACGTGTGCGGAAGATGACATGGCCTGGTTGTGCCCTATTCAGCTAACGACTCTTGACCATCCGGGCTCGGTGGCTCAAGGTCGACACGACGTAACTTCGAAGCTTCCAAAGAGGAGAGATGATGCAGCAGGTCAAACAACTCACCGTCTATTATGGAAATCCCAACAAAGCCAGACTGTAGAGAAATGGCCCCAGCCCAGTTTGCGGATCACGTGGTACCGTCCATGGAAAACGTCACCGATCCGAACGAGATGGTAGCCTCCTGCAAACGAGAAATATCACATTTTTTGCCACCGATTCCACACTCCATTAGTCGGCAGAAAATCTATTCCAGGGGGTGGGGGTTCTGAACGACCATCCCTCCCGTCCTATCGATGCTTGGTCGAGACTCCATCATACGGGTCTCAGAAATAGGTTTTTCAGGAACGAACGGGCTTCATCCGGATCGCACACTCTCTCCACCTGCGGCCGCTTGGAGAGCAGCTGGAACGCATACCTAGGGATTCATGTCGGACAGACATAGGCAGATTTGAGAGAGGAAGTCGATTGAGATCGAGAGCAGGAGAACTCGCAGGAAATCCAGGCAGCTAGCCAGCCAACATGAATAGAGAGTTCTCTGAGGCCAAATCTAAAATTAAACATCATTCACACTTGTTCGACTCGTCCCCCAGTTCACGAGTGATGGTTGAATGTGGAAGGACAAAGTTCTCCTCGCAGGGAGATCTGGGGAAAGATCTGGACTTGAAGTTTGATGATTTTCTCCCTTGGCTCCTTTCTACTTCAGACGACCGCCCTATGGAGTCAGGTTTCGAAAGCACGGAATTCGCACTGCAGGAAGGTCAGAAAGGCCAGAGATCGTCCCTCCCGGAGTTGGGAGCAATTTATTGCGAGACTCGCGACGTCTCGGGCCGGAATTTCCTCTGCGAATGAAGAGTGGAAGGCAGTATTCTCACCTTTGCAGTAGTCTTTGGGATCCTCCTGCTCCTCATCGTCTTCCGCGTCCTCAGCTTCGTTGACGGCCTCACCTGCCTCGTCCGAAGACGCTTCGCTTTCTCCGCCACTACCGCCGCTCCCCGTGGTCGACGGCCCGACATGGAACGACCCATTGCTCTTCGCTCCCCCGCCGCCTCCACTGCAAGAAAGAAAAGGAGTTGAAAGACTAGAACAACGAATAAATCACAAACCATGGATTGCAGGAGCGATTTCCGCATGAAAGCCACCGACTCGATGGCAGAATATCATCCCAACACCTTCGACCGAAGTATCCGCAGTTGGAATGATCTACCCCAACCCCATACGCGAGTACTCTCCGGTCGAGCCGCAGAAAAAAACCGCATCATGTAAGACAATCCCACGCGCGAGCAAACCGGTGCGGATCCGCCGCGCGGCGCTAATTATCTCCTCCGATCAATGCTCACATGAAGGAGAAAACATATGACACCGATCACGTGTCGCCTCAACGTGAATGTTGCGAAAGCTAATCAGATGAGGATAGATACCAGATCCGTCGGCGATCAACAACTCCCACTCCCACTTCGACTTCTTCCACGTCCGTTTCGGAATACAAAGTTTCAAAGTCTTGCGCAAGTTGCTGAGAGTTCCGAGATCCCACATTGATCCAGCCAATGTTTCGAGGTCCGGGCCGGATTTCGAATTCGATACAGAGACGGAAATGATCTCCGACGCGGAGGATCATCGCGCCTATCAAAATACCTTCCGCTCGGCATCAACTCCGGATCCAGCAGAAAAATATGGCATGTGTGCCTTCTCGGGTGCAGAATTCATCACCGGCCGAATATTCGAGCATTATCACTCCGAGGCGATAGTCGCTACGATCGACTCCAGTGTTTTCCGACACAATAGCTTCTGAGGATAATATATTTTCGCAGTCGGAGCACATTGTAAGGGACTAGGTTACGGATCCGATGCATACCGCAGCCAGGCCTGCTGTATCACGGATATTGCGAGCGACGAGAGCCCAGAAATCAGACAGAGAAAAAAGCGATCGCAGAGACTCCGTTTCCGGGTTAATGGTCAGAATGCGGGCCGGAACTCCCCAGTCGACCGATGCTCCCATTTCCGCTCCAACCTAGGGCTCTCGACACAATTACTCGCGACAAAAGCTCCGGAAGAAATAACTTCTTCCCCAGCTGCTCGGTGAGAACTTGCATAGGCTGCATCTCCGTCGAGCTTGTGCCCGAGCCTCGACCAAAATGCCAGAGAACGGAAATTTCGGTGTTCTCCGATTAACGTCTCTCAAACGTGCCCGCCAGACAGCTTGTAAACAGCACGGCCGAGAGACCTCGTGTTCAGGGCCTGAAAGAGCGACGGAGGAACGAGCAGACATGACGGTCGGTCGATTGCCTCATTCGAGCCGCTCCCGCTGCCGAAGGCCGAGGTAATCTCTTCGGTCGGCTCGGTCACGACCAGACATTCGGATCGAGTGGGGAAATCTCCAGAGAAAAACAAACTACCTACTCCGCTCCCAAGCTCAACCCAGTCAGAAGATATGCCTGATCGTGATCGAGCAGAATAATCCGAGTAGAGGCCAACTTGATGGAAATCCCATCAACTCATCTACGTCAGCAGTCCGGATCGCGCCGCCGGCATGCATGGCGAGTGAGATGGAATTTCATTCAACGAGATAACTCCTCACATTCCCGGGACTCTCCCCCTCCTCGCCGTCTCTATTGCAACGTTAGACAAATCGCATCAGCAAGCGGCCATTCCCAGCTGCAGACGGATATCCAAACGGCGCGAAGATCTCATTAGCGAACGTTATATCCCCGAACACTCCCGTCGTATTCGCCGGAGGAGAATTCAGCCCCCAGCGAGCTTCGCTCAATGCCCTAGGCCCACCGTGGCCTCGTCTGGATAAGATCGAAATAGTACAAGATGCGTGGACCCTTATACGACGAGCCGAATCCCGTAAGTTGCGACGCGTCGCTGACGATGGAGGTGGCGACAAGGGCGTTCGCCGGCAGCGAACGTCAACGACGCCGAGTCCGCAAACTTGGCCTTCGGTCTCCACGAGCCAACTCGAGTTTCGATCGAGTTCGAAGGTAGACTATCGATCGGTTGTCTCTAGGACAATCCTATTTTTAAAAGACTCAGTTTGAGAACGGCTGGATGCTTCGAAGAGCGCTGATCCACACGAGTTCAATCCAGCGGGGTCAATCCGTCGAAATGCCGGTGGAAAGACCGTGGAGGATTGAGGATTTCCCCGGAGGAAGCTCTAGCCCCAAACATTCCATGTTGCCATCCACGAATATATTTTCCCGAAGATCTCGAGTTCCAGTGGAGCTCGTCGTGTGACGCTCGTGGAAAGGAGAGCAGATACAGCTTCCCGTTGTACTAGATTCTCACCTGAATGCACTCACGACACGTACGACATACTTCCAAAGCTCGTAGTGTGACATCGTCCTCAATACACCGCGACCAAGGGTTTATCCAACAGCTCGGTAGTCTGCCGTGAAATAAACCACCAAACAATAGAACAGGCAATGGAACCGAAACTTTTCAGCAACTCAGTCTGGGAGCTAAGTGTATAGGAATCCCGCAAGCAGCACAGTGCTGTTTTCCTTAAACGACGACGCGAACTTCGTTGTCCACTTAAACTGCCTCGATTAAAATAAATGATGCAGCTCGAACACAGTCGTCGTGATCATCGACGACTCTCTCGAAGAGTTCGACTAGCGGACACGGCTCGACGATGCTCGGTCTCAAAAACCGGAGGACACCCTTGCCCAGAGCGATTGATCCCATGCAAAACCGGACCGCGAGCCTCTATTCGGGATGGAATCGATGAAGATGAAAACTGAATCGACTCGATTCCCAATCAAGGTCAGCAAACAAGTCGGTGCTGCGATCGCTTGTCGGACACAAGTCGACTGGACACGAATCACTCGGATCGGCGAATCCAAACCGAGGAAAAAGTCGGAACTAACAATCAGTCAACTTGAATTTCGACTGAAAAGCCGAGCGCACCCACTCACGATACGGCGTGGTTGACCATTTCGGGTACGTTTCCGTCTTGACCCAAATCATGATTTTTTTCCTCGGACTTTTTCTCGCTCAGCCATTCTCGTCATTTCACGCTCGGCTGAACATCGTCAGACTTCGAAAGAGTTCTGTTGTCACTTCTGCCATTCACTACTGTGCGTAGTGATTCTGGCGCGCCGGACTTGCGCGCGTTGACCGGTCAAAGACGCCGCTCCGGGACCGATTTTGAACGGACAGCCCTAGTTTGGTATCGGCGACCAAAAGAGAACGGGAGCCGAAAGCCAGGAGGCTCCACCTAAGGACCGATCGTTACTTTCGTGCCCCTACTCGTTCACTCAAAGCTCCCTTCTATCCCACGTGTCCGACAGAGTTATATTTAGAAACACATTCCCCCAGATCTAATCACGTTATAAACGTTGAGTTTGATTACATAATCAAGAGCACTAGAAACGGGCGCTCGACCCCGGGCGACGAGTTCAGGGTATCTCAGGAAGGAGGAGCATCGTATTAAGAGGCGGTCAGGGGAAGGAAATCTACCGTAGTACATATTTAATATGAAGCGTGACATGAGTACTGAATTGACGTGACTCTGAAATCCAATGATCCGAATCGTTGCCGGTCTTCCTTCCCCCGTATTCTGTTCAAGTTACAAGAGAAGGATTGATTGAGCAATCGATGGAAAAATCACGCGGCAGATGACTGTGATTTGGTTGGCGAGGGACGTCGAACTCGGAACGTCTCTATGATGCTCTTCATAGGGAATCGAAAAGCTTGCAACCCGCTATCGGGCTGGCGTTTTGAGACTCTGGGGAGCGGAAAAAGCCGAACGGAACAGAGCTCGACAAGCATTCCAAGTCAGCAAGCCTGCACTCAAGGCCGTCGTACGGATCATCAGATTTCGGAAACGTTCCTTCTCACTCTGGCGACAAAACGGAGTAGCGCGGGACGAGCATCTATTCTTTCCCGATCCAAGTGATATTCACGGCTCTCATTCGCTTCTTTCGTTCTCGGATGGTCCACCCGTAATCGGGTCTACTCTCCCCGCGGGAAATGGGGGGTGGCTGCCCCCGCGCGTATTTTCCGTTTCCTCAGTGGGATCACGCGAGTACATGGTTGGCAGCAGACGGATTCAATGCACGACCGTCGTCCTGGTTGTGAGGACTTCTTTCCAAAGTTCCTCAACCTGGTTTTTGCGCTCATGCGTACCTCCGTATCGGTCTCCGGAGCGCTCGAGACTCCCGAGCTGGGGGCTGATGGTTGGTCTCATCTCTGGATGGATCACAATCAAAACACAACTCTCGCTCTTCCACTTCGAAATCGACTATTTCGATGACTTGGCACATTTTCAACTAGATGCGGAAGCGTTCCTCACTCGAGCCGTCTAGCATGGAGGGGCGCGGCAGCCGCGCGAACAGCCGGGCGCATCAAAGCACGGAGATCCCCTGCATTGGCACGACTTCGTTCCACTGATACATTCACTTGGCTAATTCGAAACGTTTATCGTAGGGAGACGGAAGGTGAATACTCTGGAGAGAGAAGGAATGGAGAGGTTCACGCGATCTCTATGGACTATGCAGGAGGGAGCTTATGCGGCTCGGTGGATGGAATGTTGAACTCGTGTGGCGTAGATTCACGGCGTTAATCTTGGCGGGCATGTCAATAGCGAGGCATGCGATGATTGAGCGATTATTTCTCTATCCCAATCCAGTATCAATTCAATGGATATCGAGTCAGAACTTTTTCGCGCGAATCTTCCGCGAACCTCAGAGAAGTCCACCGTCTCGCATATGAATCCGGCTCAGCGTGAGCTCATGAGACCGTCCTTCTCCCGCACAAGGATTTATACGGCCTCACACAGGCTCCGATCGGCCAAATGAAAAGGGCACCACAGCCAACTTCACATCGGAGGGACGAGAGCGAGGAACGTTGACATTAACGCATTTTGCTGCGACGAGTGTCGAGTGTCCTGTGATTCATAAAGTCCTCTCGACTCTCGACCCACGTCTCACACGGAACGTCGACTCTCGCGGCGAAGTATTCTGGGATATCTCGACCGCTGTTCCCGGAGACGCTGGATTGTGTCCCACGAGAGTGTCATCCGGCGACTTCGCGAAGCCGCTTGTCAAGTAGTCGCTGCCACCACGACACTAACAGCCACTTGCTCAGAGAGAGCTGGCCGAGACGGGCTTAGCAAGTGCGCACTGAAAACGCAACCGTCTCCATCAAGACTACCACGGCCGAGCCGAAACTGTTGAAGGCATGTGCGTAACCTAACGACACCCTCTCCTCAGAGCGGCGACGATTACGTCCATAGACAGTCACTGGAAGCGGCAGCTTCCACAACGGAAACAACGACAACAGAAAGACGACGACGACGACGACAAGGACGTCGACGATTTCTCGTCAGATACATAGTCGAAGAATCTTACCGCTGGAGGACTCCCATTGCGCGGAACTGCAGGTGCCCCGTCTGGATGGTCGTGAGGGATCGTTTATTCAAATGAGTCCGGTCACGACCTCGTGAGGCAGGAGCAGCCACTCAGAGTTTCTGCTGCTGGCGGCGACGAATATGTTTGTTTGCGAAAATCCACAGTTTCAGGCTATCCGTTGTTGTTATGACAGTCAATGAGAACGACAGCGACTACACCGATCACGAGTGTCGAGGATCACAGCTGATTGCGCGGACCGAACACCAACTGAGGGAACCTATGGCAACGTCTGACTCGGTCAGAAAGTCGACGAAGACCAACCGACGTACCGGCCGGCCGCGGTTCCGTTGAATTGAGCTTCTCCTGGGAGAGGATGTTCAAACACACGGCAAACACGCACGCACGCTCCCCTTGCTTGGTCCGCTCGTTCACTCCGTTGGTTACACACATCTCTCTGTTGGATGGAAAGGTCTCAGCATCCATCCGGTCCTTCTCCCCATTGAGAAAGGGATTCACGCGAGCGCTCGGCAGCATGGAACTTGGCCGCATTTCCGCCGACCGGCTGAATGATCCGACCGACGTGACGCACAACCACGTAGAAACCCGATGGTCTCGACTCCCATGACGACGGGATCGGTGCTCGAGGGAGGGAGCGATGCTCGAGCATGCAAAGATCGCTGCAGAGGAACGAGGGACCGTCGCAGCGAGCGACAGCGCCCGAGCTTATTTGCAAAAGACGGGGACCGCATCGGAGCGCACATAATGGCCAAGCGTCGTACCGGTAAAATGGCGCACTCTGTGAACGCTTGGTTAACGGCACTGTTCGTAATGAGGGGAATGGATCGACTGCGAACAACGTCTTCTTCTCGATATCGGCGAACTTTCGCGTCATCCGAGCAACCCCAGGTCGTGGCTAGATCCCATTCCACGACGCCGGCCCATCACTGCTCATACTGCAGACAGCCCGTCAGGCAAACGTGAGCAGCGAGCCCCCATTCCCCAACGAGCGGAGGCGCTCCCTCAGTATGGCGGGCAACCTCGCCAATGTCGTTCAATGAGTTCGAATCCTCTCGACGGGGGAAGTGTACGGGGCTGGATTCCGATGAGACACGATGATGGCTATCGACATCCGAACTCTGACTGAGTGATCTTCCTTCCTGAGTGTCAATTACACCGACACACTCAGTCAGTGTAGATGTCGGCGAACTTGACACTCTGACCTGTTGCACCGCCGCTCTGACCTGGATTTTTCGGAGCTTGAACTCGATCAAGTCACTGAGCCGAAACCATCGAATCCATAAGCGATGAGGGCAAACATTGTGTTGCGCGAGTCATGAAGACAGTCCATCGCCCTCTCCACATCGTCGGAATCGGTTCATCGGATCGCGACATGTTGAAAATCGAGCTCGGACGAAAACTCGGCGCATGAGTCGATTTCGTCCGGACCGTTCAGACTCTTCGAAAATAGGGAACGAGAGATTTTGGGGGTCATCGCCTATCGAGGGATGCAAGTCGCTTTTGAATATATCATAGAATATAGGTAATAGGTACCTTTCGAGGCTCCGCATGTTCTCGTGATACGGATCTGACATCTAAATAGTGGGTCAATATGTCAAGCTCCGATGATTACGAGGTCGCGCCCTATGAAACGAGCGAAGAGCCCAAATTAGCAGCCAGGGAACGGCATTCCGCTCTCGATGACGTCGGCTCCCTCGATACTCGACACCCTCGAAAACAAATCATAAAGAGGCTTTCTCGAACGGTGAATGTATGCATTGTAAGAGGGGCGTGGTCGCACACCTGAACCTCTCCGTCGACGCCCTCGAATCTCTCGTTGAGTGGAGGGGGGGGGGGGCGTGGCTGGAGAAGGTTCGGGCCTGGAGAGGTTAGGTAACGCTTGACGACATATGCAGCTAAATGTAGCGAACCGAGACCGAGCACAGATGATGGCCGCTCTGACGAAGTTTCTCAGTTCTCAGGGGTATTTTCCCATCTCCCGAACGCAGCCGAACAGCTCGCAACGTCAATGTAGATAGTCAGGAATGTCAGGACGCCTCAAGGTGCGAGTTCGGGAAGCGGTTTCGTATAATGTCATCGTTGATAAAGACCTCTCACTCTAGCTCTTCATTTGTTTATTAACAATGACAACAATCCCGAGCGAGCGGTACCCGAGTCCGAGAACAGCCAACGTAAATCCCGGGCTCGGATATCGCTCGCTTCCATGGCCGATAGGCCCTTGCGAGCCGTCTCGCCTCCGCGATGGAGGCTGAGCGGGGGACGAGCGAGCAGGCGAGAGAAAAAACGTTGGATAATAAATGCCAACGTGCTACGTCGCCCTGAATCCGTTGCAATGGATGGGTGTCTATCGCATCACGAGACTTTTGCATACGCCAGAAAATGCTGACGACGGAATCTCCATTTAAGTGAGCTCCTTGCAGCTCTATCCGAGGACACCTCCGTACTCGGAGCAGACTTTGTCGACTACTCAGAGCTATAGATTCGTTCGAGAGTCGAGTAATGAAAACACCGCAATCGTATTTATCCTAAACCTGTTATGAAACCCTCGAGGACACGGTCGAGCGAGCATGCACCGGCTGCCAGGCCGCTCGGAGGAGTTCTCTCAACGTATAGCGCTCCCCGTTTCTCTAGAGGAACTGGGACTTGTATGATAGAATGAGAGAAACCACTCGCCGTCGCCATTCCCTCCTCGACATAGAATCCCACAGACTCGACGTGCCGTAAGATCTTCCATCCCGCACTGGACATTGTCTCAACTCTTCCTCAGTCTCTCGGAGAGGACGCATTCTCCGTTTCGACTCGTCAGGCCATGCCACGTACACCCCGTCACCGCGCAGGAAATCGTAGCCAAGTCAGATTTCCGCTCCGGAGCTCGATTCGCGGAGGAGCTTAGATACTACACTCCAGTTTACGCCACTGTTCCTAGTGCTCGGGTCGTTTGACTCGAGAAGATATTTTTCTGGCGCTTTTCTCGGCTCATCCACAGGCACCTGCAGATAGGCCGCGAAAAATCCCAAGCATATGGCAGCGCGAAAAATAAAAAAATGTTAGACTCGAGTTTCCATCCTTCGTGGGGCAATGATCGGACGACCTCATGTGGTCTCAATCGAGCTCTCTCTCAGAATCCCGCGGGGCTACCCGCGGGATTCTGGGCTGGGAGAATCCCGCGGGAACCTGATCTCATTTCAGTGGAGAGCTGACTAGCCGCAAATGCTTGAATTGTACCAGAAGCAAAAGAGATGAGATGATGGTATCTCTTGCTTGCTGCTCGCCAACAGTTGCCCCTGATTCTGAGATGGGGAGAAATCTACCAGAGGACATCCTAGAAGATATCTTGTCCCATACTTCACTCATCGAGAGCCAGTAATCGTGTTTCTAAAAATAGCGCATACGACACGACACAATATAGCCTGTCTCCGCAAATAAGATCGCCTACTTCGCTCGATACGCGGGGGAGCGGCGAGTGGAGAGTCGATCGAGGGCGAATATCTGAATTCCTCAAGCGGGACAGATATCTTACGAAACACGAGAGAGGCATGAGACTCTCTTTTTCGAACGCAGAGGTGAGCGCAACCCCTGTCCGGCAGAGAAAATAGCTTTTTCTCGCTGATACGAGCGGCGATTCGGCTTTCATCAACTTTCGGTCTACGGAATGATTTTCCTGTCGCTGATTCGCGATCGTCCCGATCTCCGTCATCGCAACGAACTCCGATATGTTCACGGAGCGAGGCAGCAATCATGTCAAATGATCCATCCGGATATGTCGAGGGAGAAAATCAGCCTCGGAGGGCTCCCATAGGTGCGGTGATCGCGAGGAGCCACTGACATCCCTGGAACGACCAGGACAGCAGGAGAGCGAGGAAATCTCATGGAATCTCCCGACCGTTTCGACAGATAGCGGAGTAGGTCAGAGCAGTCGGCGCAAGATGTGCAGATCTGCATTGACTACAAAAAGTTTACCCTCGCGCGGGACCGTAGCTCCGGATCGAGCAGCCGGCAGCTTCGCACGGAACCGAGACAGCCCCCCGTTACGATACCGGTCCGGATTGCTTTAAGTGCGGAGAAAGGCAGCGGGGGAAATTGAGTTCGAAATAAGAATTCCGCTGCGGCGCGCAAAGTCTGCGGATGGCCGGCGCCGACGCATGAGGGAAACGCGAGACTCTCTCATCTCGCAGCCATCAGGTGAACCTTCGATTGGCTCCAGAAAAATCGACAGAACCGCTGCTCGAACGGAAACTTGATTTCTGTTCGAATTGAGAACCCGCCAACTCTAGCGGCCAACTTGCGCCGATGACTCATATCAAACTTCATTGTCGGAATAAGTTACGAATTTCTGCACGGAGGTGATTACGCCGCCAGACGCATCGAATGACGCGAGCTTTCAGCCGACATGATTCATCGCCTCTCAGAATCTTCAAGCTGTAGTCTGGCGGCGTCTGAGCGCTAACTACGTTCGAACGGACCTCTGACACATCGCCCATATACACTTCAAGCCCGCTGCTATATCAGTGGTCAGCGACTCGAGAGACCGCTACTATTTTTACCCGAAACCTGGAGAATGAGAAGACTCGTACGCTGCTTGATAATTCGAGCTGGTTCTGCGCCGATAGCGAGCTTTCAGCCAGGGTTTGCAATCAATCGTGAGAGTTGTCCCAGGTTCTCGTCTGAAGAACTGGAACCCCAGTCTAAAACTCCGAGAGTCGAGCACATCCTACTCCTCGCCGGAATAGGGTTAGGAGGGGGGCGGCGGCGCGACATCGGAACCGGAACGAAGGGCCTCGACAGAATTGGCGAGGAGCGAAACGCCGGGTTTTCTATGATGTTGAACACGTCGAGCTGATGAAGTCGTTTTCCACATGTACAGGATTAGTCGGAGAACTGAGGGCTCTACCCTCGATCATATGTCTATGAAGGGCGCCTCAGATCCCCCGAAGAATCACTCAAAAATGTGGCTCTTCCCTCCGTTGTCTCCACCTAAATCTTGACTCATGTGCAACTTGGGCGCCGTGGAGCTCCCGAATCTTCATTCAGGTGAAATCAAACTCGGCAGAAGCCCATCCGAGACGAGACAAGAGGCGATGAACGGAGCCGGTCCCACCCGGTGATCACCGAGGAACTCGATCCGCTTGGGGCTTACGGATTTTCTCGATTGACGAAGTCGCTCAGGCCACTTTTCAGCATGTTCTTCCGCCCTTATTCCACGCAGCTGACTCTCCCGGCAGAGCGTCCACCGAGATCGATGTTGGACCTATACACGTGTCGCTCGACGGATCGACATGTTCCTTGATACGGACAGAACTCTGACAGCTTCACTCACCGCAAGCTATAACTGACAGCAAAGAGCAAACCGCCGGCGGAGAGACCGTTCGTTTAGACAATTCGTGCGCGATGAGTAGCGCGTTCCGTTTTGTCTAGCGATCATTGATATCGTGTGAAAATTGACAATCCCGCAGAAAAATAGATTCCGCGAGGCTTCCGCGCACTCTCTATCTGATCCCCGAACGTAACTCGACTCTCGGTCGATCGAATTCAGCAGCGTCACCGTCTGTCGTCGGCATCGGAGCATTTGGATCCACATGCCGGCTGATGAATCAAAATTCTCACACGAAACGCTGCGGCGGCTCGTTGTGCACAACCATTACACCTGCCGCTCTAATGGCCGCCTATGGCCTGCCTAGAAGCCCGCAACTAAATTGCGCTTCGTGACGGAACGAACGTGGCTCGATGGCGACTCGAATCGCTATCAGTGAGCCATTGCGCAGATGTTCGGTGTTCGCGACGCATTCGACAAAGGCGCAAAAACCTCTAGGCTTACCTTGGGGCAGGCTCGGGAGCGCGTCTCTGCTGAACCTTAAGCTTGGTCTGTTTTGGGTTGCGTGACCGCTTCTTCTTGGCCTGGATGGCAAGAACTGTAACAATGAAGCCTTTCAGATACGCCGACAGAGCTCGGTACCTCCAAGTGGGGTAAAAATTTTACCTTTTCTGTTGCCGTCAACGCTGTTCATTCTTGCTGCAGCAGCGAGCGTACACACACTCCTTTATTCGACGGAAAAGTAGCTATTTTCTTGGTAATCGTCGGAACGCTCTGAGAAGTCTGTCGGAGCTCCCGCTAATAGTCGCGAATCAGTGACAGAGGAGAGACCTCCGCAGAAACGCAGCATCGTGTGCTAAGACGGGCGAACTGGGGGAGATCGCTTCTTAGGCGACGGGGAAAAACGCCGTTGCACCAGACCGTGTTCCGAGAAAAGACAGATAGGCTACAATGAATCAGAGAATGGAAAATTTCGATGGTGACGATGATCTGTGCTTGGACGTGGGTCGATCGTGCGGGAAATGACGGGGGTAGCGAGGGCTCCCCACTGAAGAGCGGAGGAGTGAAACTGTCCGTCTGCGAGAAGGTTCCCGAGATCGGATCCTGAAGACCCTGCCGAAGACTCTTCATTGCTGCCGGATCAAAAAGTAATACTAAGGGCCGAAGGCTCGGGACAGTTCGCGAACTGAAAGACCATGATAAACTCTAAGAATTGTCGCGATGGAGCTCATCGACCAATGCCGATTTCTCGTGAGGGCGAGCATGAATTCCAGATCGTCAGGAACGTCGCAATTCAGCCAATCCCACCCAATTCTAGACTTCCCTCCGGAGACGGACCTCGGATTCTTTAGAGTAGCGGTTCTCAAACTTTCCTCCCCCACGTGTCCCTTATGAGTCCCTTATGAGTCCCTTATGAGGGGCGCTCGCGTCTCTCTTTCGAGATTACCGTATATCCTAGAATGTGAAGTTTCGACCTGAACATGTTACAGTGCCGTTTTCTCCACGGAATATGGCCTCCTGGATCAATCGTAAAATGATTGAAGAATTATTGTAGACTAGCAATGAGCTGAGTGACCTCTCTGACACATGGAATCGGCCGGTTGAGATCCTCCGCGTCTCCCCTAAACTTCTTCAACGTCTCCCCGGGCGATGCGTCCCCCTAGTTTGAGAAGCGTTGCTTTAGAGGGAGACGAGGTGGGAATCGGCGGAACGATACACTTCCGATCCCGCTCTCGTGCCCGCGGCTGACTGTAAACTGCATTTTCGCAATCGTGGTGCCGAGAAGCCTGGCTTCAAGCGCAGTGGGGATGGCGCGTTCCCCGGACAGTGAGCCGAGCTTTCGTGCTTTGCAGGATCTCTCTCGATGGTGAGAGTGGTGGCTGCTCAAGGGAAACTCCCCCCCAATCGTATTGGGGCTTCTCTGATCGGGTCGGATCAATTGTGTCCGGTGGGAGGAACTTTGATATATTCGCGAGTGTACGTTCTCAGCGGACCATGGCCAGATCAAGATTCCGTTTCAATCCTCCGTTGGGGGATACTTTTTCATCTTTCTCCTCTCGATCAAGAGGCTCCCACATGCCACGGAAGGAACTGCTTGCCGTTGGGAGCTATTTGCATTTACAGTCTCCCAGACCATCGGGGCACTTCGCCGTGAACAGATGGTTCCTGCGTCCATCGACGGTATTCGAAAACGCGCATGCCCTGAAGGACACCTGATCGATTCCGTGAAGTCGTGGAGGAGGTCAATGCACGAGGTTTGAGATTTCGGTGATGTATATCGGGCCACTGGCCGGGATACTTTGCCCACCCGAGTTTGAGGCCCTTCCTCGTCCAACTCAGCCAGGCGGTGCACTTGCTGATGCGACCCAACCTTGGGTTTTGAGGGTCTACATATTCTCATCCATCGCTTTTGAAGCGGCGTGGATATGGAACTCGAGAATTCCCTGTCGGACACTGCAGCTCACTCAGCGTTCGGGATGGCGCGCGTTCTAGCCGGACGAACGAGAAACGAGAGAGTGCGTGAATGCAGACGATGCCTTGTTTGTAAATATCCCCCTCCGTTCGTGGCGCGGCATGGGAACTGGGAGAGTGAAAACCTGCGTGAGAGTTCCGGAGCACGCGGTCGGTAGGAAAACAACTGAGTAGTCAATCGAGGAATATTCTGAATTACCCCGATGTAGTGTCCTGCCACCGAGGATCTGGCTTCAAGTGAGGGCACAAGGTACGTGACTCAAGAAGTACGGTCCCAAGCTACTCGGGTTTCCATACAAGTGCCATCCTTTTTTTCGAGTTTCAAAACTCGGTGTCTTGCCAATGATCGGAACGTAGTCTACCCCAGTGGAGTTTCCGTTCGAGATGCAAGCTTGGGATCCTGCCGGCCTTCGCCTGTTGCATGACCATAATTAGGTTTCTATTCGCGCCTTAGGCAACCCAATGGGAGAATCGACGGAGTCGCATTCCGGAGATACTTCCATCATGTCGGAGACCGACATGGTTTTGGAGATGGTACAAAACCTCGACGACAGCCCTTTGGACTCATGGAGCGTTATGGAAAAACTCCGCAGCAAGCTCGAGGGCCGAGACCTCGATGCTGCTAGCTGCATGAAAATGGCCCGGGTGAGCTTCAATCGAAATTTGAGCGCCGCTTTTTCTCGTCGAATTTCCGTGCATTAGCTAACGGACATTTAAATCTGTGTGTGTCCGTAATTCTAGAGCATCTTGCCCGTCCTCGGCCTTCTGAGAGACCACGAGAACATAGATGCAGCAGACTGGGAGAAAGTCCTGTTCGGTATGCAGTTCTTCGTTGCCAATCACATGGATACGGTCAACTCGATCGAAGGTCCCGGAATCGTGGTGAGTATGCCTCCTCTCCATAAATAATGATCAATAATTAGGTTCATCAAAAGCCTGACGGATGAGAGCCATCGATCTCGATACATTTCTCAAGAATAATCACCACGACGGACTTGCAGTTTGATTGTCTCGATGACCTCTACAAGCTCCCGCCCAGAATACCTGCTGTCATCGACTTGGTCAGTGAGCTCCAGAATTCCATCGTTGACCACTTCGTACGAACTCCGGAGATCCGACCACCTTCCCAATGCAGGCAAATCGCAAATTATTGGTTCGATGCCCTCGTTTACGCAACAAAGGTTTCAAAGTGAGTTCAGGACGCAGGGAATTCCTTGGAGCCGACTCGGGCGGAAGACAGAGCGACATCAGAATATGGTCGGATGATTCAAGACGGCTCCATCTCGTTGCAGCTTCGATGTGAATTCTGCGCAAGTGACCACCTTGTGCCGCTCTATAGGGGACACCTTCTTCGGAGGAACGAGACTGAATTCAGCCTTGAAAAAGCTCGCTGACATCTCCGGTGTGATTGACGAGTCTCGCTCCGACTTCCCGTACCTCTTCGATGTCGAGACTGCGGAACTTGTCAAGCGATACTCGGCCGAGCATGGGGCTCTCGTGGGGTACGCGGAGAATTCTGATTTTGTGGACTGCATTGCATGTAAGCCACTGTTAAATCTGCCGGAGTTTCTAAAGATTGTACTCTGTCCTCAGATATTCGTTCCTCTGGGCCGTCCTGGAAGCCTTCCTACTGCGGATGGAGAACGAGCCGGACTACCTGTGTATTCTTAAGCTATTTGTGCATCTCTTGCAAGCCATAGGTGTGCCAATCAAATGCATGGCTACGGCGTCTCTATTGGAATATCCTGTGAGTTCACGGTCGGAATTTCCCGCAAAGTCGTCTCTGTCAAGAGAACAGCCAACCCGGCTCCCTGGTGAGAGCGGCAGCTAGCTAATCGTCGTATCATGGATCGTTTCAGCAAGCGGATCTCTCTGAAGAAGAACGCCTGTTCCACGTGGCGAAACTCCTGGGGCTCTATGTAGCGTCGAACTTGCACCACCCCTCGGTGCTCGTCAGAGCCGAGAGACGTTTCAACGGCAGACTGATATTCGTTGACATCATCACGTACATTTTGAAACACGAAGCAAAGGGAAGCAAGACATGGTACTCGGCGCTCTTGCACCTGGGAGAGATATCGCCGTCCATCATCACTCCTAAACTCCGTATGATCCTGCAGAACGCCTGGCTAGACTGCGTTCCAGAGGATTGTGAGCTGCAAGACCGACTGATCCTCTACCTGATCGACCTCTATGATAAGATGAATAGATCAGCTGATTTCTACAGCAAGTTCCCGGGAGCTGTGAACGACTATCTGGAAAATCCGAAGGACGAGCCGCGTCTCTCAGAGGAAGTTGTGCAAGGAATGCGCAAGAGCTTCGGAAGGCTGGGACCCGATGACGTGGTCGCCATCTGGTCGAACTACGTCAGATACTTCCAGCAGGTCATTGTGAAGTGGAAGGACAGTGCCGGAGCGCTTTGCGATACGCCTCATATTTTCACTCTGAGGATATTCTCGGAATTCATCCAGCATTGTCCCCTAGTCCCGATGGTCCAACTGACGCAGGAACAATACGATAAGATGGACGCCGCGGTAAACAGTACGCTAGAGCTAACGAAAGTACTCGAGGAAACCATGGATGCCCTGCCGGAGAAAACCAAGAAACTCAGACCGCATTTCTTCAAAATCTCACAAAATTTCATCAAGACGAGCTTCGCGCGATGCTGCTATTTCCAGAATACTTTCCACCGGGCTTTCGAAGAAGCATCTATTCGACAGAAGAGCTTGTATGAGCGATTCGAGGCGAATCAGAAAGCTCTGAGGAAAAACAAACGGCTGAAGTTGGACCTCACCTGCTATTGCGCCAAGTTCTCCGATAATCCAAAAGAAGAATCGAATCAATGTCTCCTGTACGTATGCGAGAACTTCAACTCAGTCGACTGGCAGGTGTTCCTCGTCAATAATCGGCACATTTTAAAATCCGCCCCCAAGAAACAGCTCGAAGTTCTCATCAATCTGCTCTATCAGTCTGTTCGTGACCAACAAAACGGTGCGAATCCGAATCACTGCGCATACCTCCGGAGTCAGAGCTTCCGTGACTGTCCTCGGCAGGTTTCGATGTTCGTCAAATTCGTGGCGCAAGACCTCCTGGCCGAACTCACGGAATCCGACCGAAGGTTCGGGGAAATATTCGACGCAGACAATCCTATGGGCGCCCCGGTCAAGTGGTCGGAGGTCATGGGCCTCCTGAAGAAGCCGAAAGCGGAGAATCTTCCAAAATCATTTCTCCTGAAATCTACCGACATGCTGGGTTTCGTCCCGGTACACTCCTTACCCGCCCGGGATCGTCTGATGTTCCTCGCGATCTTCATCTCGTTCGCAATAATCGAACGAGAGCCGACCGAAGAATTCTTCTCCGTCTGTTTCCGCTATCTCGAGGATTGGACGTCCGCCCTCAGTCCAAAAGAACTCGGAGACGACGAAGACAAGCATCTGGTCCTTACATCGACTTGTAGACTAGCGGGCCTATGCTTGGAACGGGTGCTGAGCATCGATAACGAGTTGAACATGAGACGGCCGTCGGTGAAAAAGTGCGTGGATTTCATCAGGTACACTTTTTACGTCACGGCCAAGATCGCGGATTCGGTGGTTCCATTCGACGAGATCATCGGTGACGAGCCCCTGAAGAAAGAGGCTCAGCTGTGCGCGATTCTACTCCTCATCGAGACGACGACTCGCGTTCATTCCAAGAACATATCGCCGGAGGATGCTGCCCGGATCAAATCGAAATGTCTCTCTCTAGTCACCAAGTATCTGAGGAGAAACGCTTCTAAACTGGAGAATTTGATTTTTGTGTGCAACAAATTCGCCGAGGTGACCAGTTTCGAGGAAGCGTCGAAACTCCAGTGCTTCCCCGCCGCTCTCGAAGCTGCGACGGATTCGGTGCGACTGATAGTCCCGGACGTTGCCGCCTTCCAGTTGCTCCTCAAGGCTTCGGTATTCGACGAAACAATCAACACTTTCCAGCTGCTACGCGCGACCTTGGTTGTGGGGAAGGAGTTCCTGGACGAGCTCACCAAGGTTCTGGACGAACCCCTCGCAGAGAAGGTTAGTGCGCTCTCGATATTCGTTCATGTTGCTTATCTTCTCTCGATCCGACACGGATCGAACGATTCGGGACGTCATCGGTGGTGGCGAATAATCGGGAGCGCTGTCGAGCTGTAAGAATTCCGAGCATCGGCTGTCTTCCAGCTGTGGCCTATGCTCGAGGAAACCTGGAGTTTCATGGGGGCTCTCCACTCCGCCCCCCTCTTCGATTTGACCTGCGCTGACGAAGTTGAAGCGCCCCCTGATTTCGCGCCGGATAAGGAAATCCTCTGCGATCGCTTCATGGAAGTCTCCTTAGCTCTGGTGAAATACCTCAGCAAGCCGAACCTCATCAAATTAGTTGTCCAGGTGAGTTTGATGCGTCGTGAGCAAGTCCCCGATGCGTTGCCGGATAGATCAACGAGCCTTTCTGATTCCGTCCCATCTCTCTCTCTAGATCTATCGCCTGATCGCTGCTCAGAACCTTCGCAATAATGTCCGCTTGGACCTTTGCTGCTCACTACTCGACGTCATTGCGAGGAAGCACGCGAGTCCCGACTTGCTGTACACTATCTTGCTGGCCATCGGAAGTGTTCCGTTGGAACGGCTATACGGACTACCGGGTCAGTAGGGCCATGACATTCCATAAAAAGGTCGAATGAGCTCCCAACGGTCTCTCTTGGTCTCGATGGATCTGAGACTACAGTGTTTTCCTTCTCTGACATTTTGCAGGAGATCAATGGTGCAAGATCATCAGCTTAACGTCGGAGATCTACGGTCGAGCGTTTGCCTATAGACCCAATTACACGAATGGAACCGCAGCAATCCTGCTCGGTAAGACCGGGAGACTGATCGAGACCGTTGTGAAACGATGTGATATTCAACAGACAGACGGAAATATGTCGGAAATGGCTGAGATAATTCGCGCAATCGACAGCGTGACGAGGTGAGTACTTCCCAAGATCCTGCGGAAGAGCGCCTTCTGATAAGCGCCGAAGGGCGTCAGAGAAATACCGAGAAATCGCGATTTTGTTTTCTTCCGCCAATTTTCAAGGGAGTCATGGTTTTACTTAATTCCCTCGCAGATTACTCGTCGCTCTGCATCGTCACCGGAATCGAGATCACACCAGATCTGTGGAGCTTGTTGGACCTTTCTTGGTGGCGGCTTATCTTCGCAGCACTGTGGCTTCTTCAGTTCATGAGACTTTCCGAGCGGATCTCAAAGCCATGGCTCTCCTGGCATTAGGACTTTGCACGTCGAAGAGTATCTTCACTCTCAAACTCGAACGACCAAAAGCGGAACAGGAAGTTTTGAGACGACTCATCGAAGATTGCAGATCCAAGATGATCCGATGATGTGCATATCCTTAATGGATGCGCCCTCGCTGCGCTCAATAAAACCCCTATCGACACCCATCTACGCTCATCCATCGCTACTCGGAGGAGTCTGCCCGCCTAGCGGGTTCGAGTCGGACCCTCTTCGAGATTATCGCCTTCATCTCTCCCTCCCTACTTATGAAACCCGGCTCATACGCATCTCCGGAGGGGTTGATGTGTTGATCGCTCGCGATTTCAGTGATCCTTTGCGGTCCCACCGTGATCTGACTTGATCTAGGTATGATTCTGAATGATCTGACGAGATCAAGACAGATGAGCCGGGTTAACTGCATATCCAAATATTAAATGTTGGAAGGAGCCGCCCGATCCTGGTCGAGCTCTCAATAGGCATCGACGACAACTTCGTCTACTGTCCAACCGTCGCCCAGTCGCAGCTCGTGGCGAACGGTATTGGATTCCCACCGATTCCGACGGACCGGTTGGATGGGGGGAGGATGACGCATCGCCGAGTAGCCGAGCGGTCAGCGCGTCTATCGCTCGTAACGCAAACGCGTGCTCTGATTCAAAAGAGAGGCACTCCGCGGCGAGCAGCTGTCCCGGCAGCAAGGGTTCGGTTCGCGATGTCAGCGAAATTTCTCCAATGTCCCTTCATAACTCCGTTCTGGGAGTGCACTTATCTGTTCGAGAGTCTTGATACTCCCTTCGGAATGGAGACTTGTAGGATGCGGGAGACTCCTCGTCTGAAGAGACTTAGCCTAACTAGACACTATGATTCGATACGTGGGTTCGGCGTCCCCGTATCCCTAAGGGTCTCGTCCATCCTCACGTTCCGTAGTCTGTCTGACAGTCGGAAGCACTCGCATTTTTCCGAGGACATTCGTCCGTGAACTTCGTCCACTGGCACATTTATGTCCGAGGAGATCCATAAAATCTAGAAAGCTGAAAGATGGGGGCTCCTTCGACGTATCCCAAGGCTATCTTGCGAACACTGAACGCAACAATTATGCCTCTTTTCAATTGTAACAAACACTTTATTCTTTGCGGAAATTCTCCACCCAAAACAATGATATTGTGGGGAACCAGCCCGTGTCCAGGATCTTTCGTCTAGGGGAGCTGCGAATGCTTCCGTTCAAGGTTCACTCCAAGATGATCGAGAGAGGGGATCCTCATCGAAGATCCCAATTCCATCAACGTTCGCCCGAAATCAACGTCGACTTCCGGCTAAGAGGTCGGAGACCATTCATCTTCAAGAGAACGTGTTTTGGGATTCCGCCGTAGGTGGTGGGATTGATGAGGTAGAGTCCATTTTCATCGAGGTTCGAACGACTGGAGCGGCTATGCATCGGCATCATACCCGCCGCAGTAACCATTGAGAATTGGTTGGACTGGAAGGTTTCGGCGCAGCATCCGACATCTGTGCTCATCCAATCTGTATTTCGCTTCTTCAACGTCTTTGACGTTCCGGGCAGACCACAGTCGCTCTCCCACGGCTGAAGCTCTCGGCCTACGGGGAGTAGCGTGATTAGTGGACGGAGGCATCCACTTGATTTATCCTGTAGCTGAGTGAGGATTATTATTATCAATTACCATAGTCTTGAGATAGCATTCGTTCCGTCCACGTATTCTCCCCACATACAGGCTTCACCACCGATCACCAATTCTTTATCTTTCGCCGACGCAGGGAAGTCCAACGGTTCTACCGTGTAGTACTACAATGGAAAAGGAGGGAAATGAAGGAAGGGAATAAGAAACAAAACTCTCCATGAAAATCGGCACTCCTGCTTCGCTTTGATAGATGCAAACCTTTTCCCAATCTTGACCGTAGCTGATATAATTCAGGTACCACGGAGCTGAAAGCACGATCTTATAACCGTTTCGAGCAGCTGTTATCAAGTATTCTTGCCAGCTGTAGGCATATCCGGATTTCCACACACCGACCACGGTGTCGGGAGCAGCCTGGTGAGGAGAGAATTTCTTAAAGTCCATCACTCGCGACGTCGACCTTGGAGCCGGGAGAAAACTCTGGATGTATGCCGTCGCAAACGTGAGGATTACCTCAACGCCGTTGTCTATCGGGTCTTGCCATATCATATACTTGGCTCCGAGCTTCTTTACATTATCCAGAGTGCGCTTGACGTAGTGCTGTTCCACCTGGGAGACAGAACTCATGTTCCGTTTCCTCATGAAATCCTTGATCTCCGGGCTCGACCGCCTAAGAATAACGCGCGGGTTTGAACGATTCGACATGAAATGCGTAGGCTCCGGAAGAAATCGCATCGGGGAAAATGACTTCAAAAAGCGACATCTTCCGCCGATCTCACCAGCAGTCGTAGTAAACTTCATCCATCCCAAGATGAATATAGTCATCCGGAAAAACCCGATTCACTTCTCTAATGATTTCTCGCATCACGTCATATGTGTAGTCGTTCATCGGGTTCAACATCTCGTAGGCTGCGAATCTCGGGTAGTCGGCGCTGCCCCGGCCTCCAGTCCCGTAGCACGGAGTGAGAATGTCTGAAAATTATTCCGCTATCTAGGGGTTCCGCTATTCATGGGGCGAATAGTCCCGACTCGCTTTTCGTAGGTGATCACTTAATCAGGTGATACATTACTCGGAAAAACTTTTCCCAAGGCTTGAGAGTGTCCGGGTGAATCAATCTCCGGTATGACCCTGATTCCTCGCAAACGCGCATACTGGACTAATTCCTGGAATAGAGAGGCCCTCCCGACTTCATGTCCCGCACCTAGTCTATTTCGATTCTCGTTCAGATTAAGAGCTGATGAGCAGATTCCACACCTCCGGCTCCCCAAGACTCACCGCAACATCTCGTTGACTGTACACAAGGCGCGGATGGTAGGCGGCATCTGTGAGGTTCGGGAAATGCTCCATCTGAAGCGGCCACGACTGGTCGTCGACGATGTGCCAGTGGAAAACGTTGAATTTATTCTGTGCCATAGCGTCCTAGGTGAACAGAGGATCCGTGAAAGTCGATGAGAAGGAGAAATCGACGCTGCCGTGGGTGCCGAGAAGCAGCCGAGGGCATGCACCGATGCGGGAAATCACTCATGGACTCCTCCGTGATGGATGGTAAGCTTTCAATTCCATCTCTCTAACTCTCTCTCGAGAGAGTCGAATCCCTCGATTTCGTCCATGAAATGGGGGAACTATGAACTCACCAGATTCTGCTTGAGTGTTTTCATGGGGAGGAAATGGCGAGCCGTGTCGAGGAGGATACCCCTGAATTTGAATCTCGGAAAGTCTCGGATGTAAGTTTCGTTGACGAAGTACTGGAAGCCCAAAATCAGAATGAAACCCGAAAGTCTGTATCAGGTGCATAGATTGCTAGATGCTCATGCTGGTGGCGCTCCATCTTACGCACATTGTTGGTAGCCTCATCTACGTAGACCAGCTGCGAAAATGTTTCGAGTCCGCGCAATGCACCCCACGGTGATTTTGAGGAGAGGACGGCTCCGGCTCTCACGTTGATGACTAGCTCGTCTGATCTCGGGAAAAATTTTCCAGTTGAAAGAAGTTTTCGTCGGCGTTGTGGCGGGGAAGGAAGCAAGACACCGGACATCCTCCGGTCATCCCAGATTTCAGGACGAAGCTCCGGTCCCGTCGACTGGATGGGTATTCGGTATCAGACCTGGACCTCATCAAGTTCGGGAGGCCCCTTCGGGCGACGACGCTCTCTTGCAATATGCTCCTCAGGCAGCTGAAGTCAAACCTCCTGAATCTTCCTCCGTGCGGGGAAGTTCAAGATCTCTTGAGCTGATCGAGGAACTACGAGATGAATGCAGAGCTCGCCGCGAGGAATATTTACCTAGAGGGAATAGGTAGAATGTCTGTTTTTCGCGATACCCGGGTAGAACTCACAGCTCTCATCCATATCCTGATGGGGATAGCGACAATCGCTTGGATCCTCAACCCTGATGAGGAGGAAGGTCAAAAGAGGACGACTAGAAGGAGCCGCAACTTCCTGGCTTGGGAAAAGCATTTTCCGATATCGAATGATTGCCTGCGGGAGAAACAGCGCGCCTGTTTTTCCGTTCACGACTATCGAGACTCTTCGAGATCCATAGTCCTTCCCATCCGTGTAACTCAAGGAAAGGCCCCGAGATGAAAAATCACGCATCCGAGTACCAACCTCTTTGACGATGTCACACGAATCCTGATACGATGTCATTAAGAATTCGTTCGGCTGTACTTCCATCAAGAAATCCGTCGTCCGATATTCTTGGGGCTTCGGCCATGGCGATCCAGGTGGCGGGGGTTCCCCCTGTAACGTGACGTTGATACATGGATGAATGAGCTCCGAAGTTGATCGAATCGTGCAGAGATCTCACAGCTCGAGTAGAATCGTTGACAGAGCCGCAGACGGTCAGACCTCCGTCCCACCCCAAGTATATACTGAGCGACAGCCTCACCTCCGTTTGGGAATTGATTCTGTGAGGCTGCTCTAGGACTATCTGCCTGAGGATGGTGTCCGCATAAATTATCCTCTCGACTTCCCTGGGTCTCTCCGCCCAGAGAATCGATGGTGCAGATCCCACGTCTCGCAGTCTCTTCAGAATGACAATGTACGACACGAAAGCCACTATCATGAATATGGAGTACGTATATTTGATTGAGATGCGAATACATCGCTGCAAATTGGTATCACTCAAGCGTTTCTGACCCATTACGGCGGGTCGTTCACCTTCGCAGCGTGAGTGTTAGGAGTTTGGGAGCGAATATCAATGAGCAACATTTGCCCAAATGAAGGGAAGGATGTGACGGAAATTAGAAGCGGGTGTCGCCGAAGCCTCGACGACGAAGTCAGCTTTGGGCTCACGAATTCGGCATTGATTGATATTCCATTATGTACTTCCATTGGGCTTCCGTCGATCTTGCGGAAGCGCCCTCCTGTCTTACCCTACGCGCCCTATCGCATCTCGCTTCAAACTCCTGGATACCGCGGTATCGAACATTTGAGCCTGCTTATCGGTGTGGTTCGGATTCGCTCGCTGTCCCGAGACTTCGGCAATGCCCAGGATTCCGCAAACACAGAAGCAAGTACACGAGACTCACGGGAAAAACTTTGCAAAATCTCCCCCTCGCCAGCTCACCGCAACAATATAAAAATGAAGAACGCCTTGCAATTTCCCAGGAGCTCATGAGGAATTGCCTAAGAGGATCTACCCTCGACAATGTATAGCATTTCGGTTTCTTCAAGGCCAGAAGTCAACAGTATCATCACATATGCGAGCAAAAAAGCTAACCATACTCACCACGAGTGGAGTTCGAGCCTCGATGTACCGGATGTGCGCGTCGATGCCGGCGGAAGCCGTCAGGATGAGGAAACACGAGGCGTACATCGTCGCGGCTCCATGTGGACAGATGGAACACTGCCGTTTTCCTTTTGAACGACTCTCTTCCCCACGCCTCACCGGCAATAACCATCATTCCGCAGAATGTCAGGCGTCTGATAGTGAAAACAGTACTGTATCAGTGCTCAAGCGAAGATAAACAGTGAGCGCCGTGAAAGTGATTTACGGCGAGAAGGTCATTCCTCAAGAAACGCATGTGAGGGTCCCTCGCGATGTCACGTTTTTCAGGGTCGCTAAGAACGCAGGCAGACAATCTCGCAACGGTGTCCATGAGACTCCGACTGACGATTAGTCTTCCGAGGTTATTGAGGTGGGGCTCGACACTCAGTCAGTTCGAGGTGCTCCAGTGAACGTCGATTGACTTGTGGAGTCATTGCGAGATCTAAATCCTGACAGATCCTCGATCGCCCGAAGTTAAAGGTTCACTGCAGTAGATGCGCGGGTTTTCCTGCGATCGTGGGAGAATACCAGATCAGAGAGGTGTGTACGTTCTCGAGACTTTCTTGGAGTCACAGTCGAATCAGAGTATCTCAGGATATACCCTGTCGCATTCGGCTTATTCGGGAGAATGGAGCGCCGAGAGCAACGTCTGCCTGACGCAGTTGAGTCATCTTTAATCTTCTCGCTCCGCAGAACCCGTATCAAGCAGAGCTTATTCCTCGAGTGACCGAGATTCGCTCTTTGATCCTGTGCGTTGAGCCGAGGAGAGACTCTCGGCGGAATCGGAATCGCGGGTCTCTTTTTTCTTACCCGCCGGGAGAATTCATTCCTTCCCCCTGGAGTGACCACGCTTATTTTGGAGCCCTTGGGAGGTATCAGGCGAAAGTTTCCGTCAGATCTACTACTTTTCCTTCTTTCCCTTTTCCTCCGCCTGCAACCGAATTCACGACATATGTACCCAAGCGGACGACACGGAAAGCTTGGACGAGAATCGAGATGGGAGCATGATCGAATTTTGTACATCTTAGAAGTGCGGGAAGTGAGGGAAGTGAGAAAGGAGTGATTTCTCGAGAAACCGATGCCTGAGATCTCCATTCTTCGGAAAGTGGACTGTAGCTATTTCCGGGGCTCAAAACAACTGGCTATCACTATTCGCGAGAAAGAACTCCGGACGGAACGGAAAAAAGGGGGATGGTGCTGTCCCGATTGTTTTCGATTGATCGAGGCACTCCCACGATGATGCTAATCAAATTCTCAGGAGAATAAATTAGATATTCGCTCTCGTGGCGCCGCATTTATTGATCTCCCTTCCACCCGTATGTACATATCTGTTTCTTCTGATAATGTAATAAGTCTTATATCATGTTCGGCACGATAGGGGAAATCTAGTTTTGGAGGACGGCCGAACCACCAGGATTCTCAGGCCCACTGGTAACTGGGCTACCGTTCGAAGGCCCTGGAGTCGGAGCACCCCCAGGCCGCTGCTGCTGCTGCGCCATCATCATGGCGTGAGCTTGCTGCCGAGCCCGGAACTCTGCGGCTCGGAGCTGCTCCAAATGGAACTGCTGTCTCTCCTGGATAAGTTGCTGTCGTTGGTATTCTAAAGTCTCCCTCTCTTTATCCATGATGGCTTCGAGCTCCTCGAAATGCCGGAGCTTGATCTCGAGCTTCTTCATCTGCGTCTCCACTAGAAGCGCAACGAGGGACTTGATTTTCCGTTCCTCGACAGCGGCCAGATGCTTCGCTTTGACAGCCGCAGATCCGAGAGCGGCGGCCGCTGCCGCAGACAGCTGCAAGTCCGCCTGGAAAGCAATGAACGGAATGGATTTGTCATCGTTTTGAAAATTCCAATAGCGTCCGATCAAATTATGATGGGATGGATTGAGGTCTACCTTGAGTCGCTCTCTCTGAGTTTTCAAGCGTTCATCGTCCTCGGCATTCTCCTTATTCTGCTCGTTGGGATTTTCCTTCTTTTCCGAGGTGTCCATCGGCTCCTCGCCGTTTTCTTTATCGGTTCCAGCGATGTCGCATTTCTCCAGATCGTTCTCGGGAGCCGGATCCTTGCCCTCGTTGATGGCTTTCTCGATAACGTTGCTCAGATGTTTCTCGACTAATGACGATGGAACTTCATCTTTGATCTTCGCGAACTCTTCCATCGCCGATTTCGCCGCGGAACTCGCCACTCTGGGGTCGACAACCGATGCGAGGAAGGCCACCGTCGACATGATCGGGTTACCCGCCTGGGGGAAATTTTTTCCTGTCACATGACCATCAGAAACATCAGATGCCTCGCACCGTCTTTAAACATCCGAATCCCTCCGGTACTGACCTTTGAGAAGGGAATCGGTTGGTAAGCCAGAGGTCCGAGAGCACCTCCATCGTCGCCTTCGAGGTACGGGTCCTCGATCGGGAGACGGAGGAACTGCAGGATGCATTCGTCCTGTGATCGGCTGCCCACGTGCTCGCAGACCTAGATAGAGGATTTCCGCTCGTTAGAATGATTCCCTTTCGTTGGGATAATTCCGCAGCCATCGGCCTCCCGCTTTTTCGGTTGGTAAGAGCCGCGCAGCCTGCAATTTGATTAGGTGTCAGGGGAAAAACAACTGACCTTATTCCAGTCGTCTTTGAACATCTCGAGTCCTTCCAGAAGGAGCAACGTCTCCTGTTCGGTCCAATCCCGTCTGGTCTTCTGCTTGGCCAAGGCCTGCTTCTTCGCAGCGTCTGAATACTGATCGGTTTTGAGGCCGAGCATGTCACCGATCGTTTGCTGACCGTTCGATGAAGAATCTTTCGACGATTCTTTATCTTTAGCGACACCGTTGCCGGAAGTGGAATCGTTCGAATTTTCGTTCTTGATCGCGTCCAGATTGGAAACGAGCGGCGATGAGTTGGTGGCCGAGGCGAAGGTAGTCGCGCTCTGAGGCTGGTTGAGTCTCGGGGGGTTCAACGTCTGCAGACCGGACGGTGTGTCAACGAGAACGTGGAAATGCGATGTCGACGGCGGACCCATCGGAGTCGGGCGCGACTCTGCGTCCACCTGATAATTTATCAGACCCCACTGCTCCATGAAAGCGTGTATCCTCATGATAGCACAGACGTCACCGGCGCAGTTCCGTCGACACGCCGTTACGGTGAGATATTCCGTGGGGTTCAAACGATAGGTGTCGACCATGAAATTGCGGCATGCCATGTAGTTCTCTGGGGTCTTTGATCGATTCTTCGCGCTGAAGAATTCCGGCAGCGCTCGGCGTTCAATGGCGTGAATTGACGTGTAATCGAACCAAGCGGAGTATGAGGGAACGATGATGTGACTCGACTGTTCTGTTGCGATGTCTTCGGGTATGACCTAGAAGCAGGAACAAGTTCAGCTCTCTGACCTTGAGGAACGGGAAATAAGACCCGTCGTTCAACGTATGCTCTGAGGAGCCTCTCCGTCCATCCACACCTTTTTTTCCGGGACAATTTCTGCGAGGTTAAGATTTTTCGGCAGAGCCGCGGCCTCCTCGACTTTTTCCGGCACCGACTCCGGTGAAGCTTCATCTGCGTCCTTGGACAGGTCGTCGCGCCGTCCTTTCGACTTCCTGGCTTTCTTTCCAGGAGGAGACGGACTACGGTTTCGTTTCTTGCCTGCTTTCTTTTTCTTTCCACAGAGTAGTTCTTCGACAGTGCATCTGAAATATCGAAGTCGAGCATCGAACCGCGATACGCCACAGAGTTTGTGCCGAAGTCCTCCAGACGGAAGTTTCCGCAATGGACATGTTTATCGATTTCGGCGAATTCTGCGTCAGATCAAATCACCTTCGACGGTTTTCCTGTTCGACATCGTAATCCTCCGGATTCATCCACTCGTTGTAGAGTTCAGAATCGAGCAGCCACTGAGGAGTGACCTGCAAAATTCCCGGATTGAGCGCTTCCTTCCAAAATACGACGTACTTATAGAATTTATATTACTTCTATCACTTATCGAGGGAAAGAAGGAGGGGTTATATTGAATATTGATTGAGCTACTTTATGTTTATGGGGAAGTAGTCGAGCATACGGCCGCAATTTACCTCGTAGCTCGCGTTGTCGGAAGGCCGCGGAGAAGATTCGGTTGGTTCGGATTCGGCTTCGGTCCAATAATCGTACGAGTCCGGTGTTTGACAGAAATGAACGAGGACCTGCGGAAGTCAAATCTTAGAGCTCGCACAACTCGCATGACGTCAGAGGTGAGGCAAGGCGAAGTCTCCGGAGGAAGGGGGCCGAGTCTCGGAGAATCGTGGGTGCGAAGAGCAATGGTGTACCTGATTATCTTTCCTCTGGGCTGCTCGGACCCAAACTTCGGAGGTGTCTTCGGGTTGAGTTGCCGTTCCAATAATAATGGTTGCATCATCTGCGTTCTGGACAAGTTCTCCTCCAAGTTTCCTCACGATCTCTTTATGCTTGGCATCGGTCGCGTAAACGAGAGGTTGCTCGAGAAGTCTTTGGCTTTCGAGTTGACGTTCGGCCAATTCGAAGAATTCTATGTTTTTGTCGTGGCGATTGACCGAAGTGAAGTCGAATCTGTTGGGAAATCCTGGTTTATAGCCATCAAGCTCCGGAGCTCTCTAAAAACCATGGTGGGGAAGGTCCGTCCTCCGCAACGTCACTCACCTCCTCCAACCCTGCTCTGCCTTGAACTTGTAGGCAGCTGCTAGCAGATGGCATAATGCTCCGCCTGCCTTCAGATCCATGAACACACTTATGGGTAAACGAGCCAGTGGCCGAGGCTTCGCTGAGTTTTTCCCCAATGAGTCTTCCTGGAAATTCGTGGAAGCATGTCTCTCAGTACGGGATATATGTAGCGCTTCGCGGGAACCACGACTGCAGATCACGGCGCGTTTCGCCTTTCCAAAAAGGCCTCATGGTCTCTGACATACGTGAATTCCTTCTTCAATCATGCTCGCGGTTCTCTTTATGATCTTCCACATAGAGAGCGCCCACCGCCGCAAGATCTTCGTGAACGAGAGGTAAGCGAGAATCATGAATCTGGTTTCCCGCCTCCCGATTGAACTGCCCCGAAACGACCGCTCAAACCCACTATCGATATCAAGCTCAGCATATGCGCGGGGCTTTCGTAGAAGTTTCGTCCCAGCGACCGTGGTCTCCAAGTCGGACCAGAGCTCAATTCTCCGGGTAAGATTCGGACTGCCAAGCATTAGAGTTGCCTCGAGCTTTGGACGGCTCTCGCTGCATCGCCTCGACGCTTTCGCACCGGCAACTGCCCGGACGTCAACGGCGCTCGACGCCGTAACCCTCGCAACGCTCAAGTTATCCAATCGTTTCGGAGCTGATAACTACTCTCCGGGAGAACATTGGAATGTCTACTTGGAGCTTCGAGCGTGATGAGATGACAGAAGGCCCCAGATTCAGAAATCTCGCCGAGCCTGACAAGCGACCCGCTCGGGCACGGGAGAAGCGGAAGATCAATGGATGAATCGTTTGGTCACGAACCTGGAATTGCCACATCTGGACCGTGAGTTGGGCCAGACTCTTTGCTGTTGGGGGCTCCGCCTGGGTGTACTTCTTGCATTGTTTCACCAGCCATTGCTTCACGGATTCGAAATGCTGGAGCGTTTCCGCCGACTCGAAGAACTTCAGGTTCGGACCACCGTCTTTCCTCGGACTGAGCGCCATAGTGGTAGAGACCGTTTGCGTCGAAGCTAGAGGCCGGCCAGTTACACCGTCGCCAAGTTTTTCGACTCTAACTTCACCGCACAAACACACTCCGGTACTCTTCCTCCGACGCCACCACTGTTTACTATGGCGGCTTCGTGACAACATTAACCGCCGCCGCTGCTGCCGCCACAACACTCTGACTGGCGGGCTTTTCGAAATGGGCGGCGCGTGCCTGACCAACGGCTCGGGTTCGACATTCGGAAATTCTAGCGTTGGAGCAGAGCACCGTTTACCCCGAATCATGGCTTTCTATGATTCTCATCTGCGATGAGCTGGCTCGTGCAGTCCGTATTCTACGTGTCGATACGTTGGCTCCTTGTGGTCTTCGCTCTGACTATGTACTCATTTCTATGCATGAGAGCTATCTCTTCTTGATCGGAAGCCGCATTTCCACTTTAGCATTTCTCTAGGTCAGCGTTTCTCAAACTAAGGGGACGCGTCTCCTGAGGGAGACGCAGGAGATGTTGAGGGGAGACGCGGGAGATCCCTGGAATTCCCAACCGATCGATTTTTCGTCACAGAGCGGTCACCCAGCTTATTGCTAGTTTACAATTAGTCTAAGTAATCATTGTCCGATTGATCGAGGAAGCCATACTCCTTGGAAAACGGCACTCTGACATGTTCAGGTCAAAACTTTACATTCTCAGATATACGGTGATCTCCCTGGGAGACGCGAGCGCCCCTCATATGGCATAGGGGAGACGTGGGGGAGAAAAGTTTGAGAACCGCTGCTCTAGGTCTCTCTATAGGAAAGGGTTAAGTTCCTCTCAGGCTCCTCTATTTGCTTCCCGATCGACCGTGTGGGGATTGAGTGGACATTTCTTGCCTCGGAGGCTGCGAGGTTCTTGATGTCCTCCCGGAATATTCAGGATCCCTTCATAGTTATCGGAGCCGGAGGCGTTGAAGAATCGCTGGGCTACAAAAAATCCCTCTGATACGCCTCTTTCTGAGTCCGATCCCAAAATATCGCAGCGCCGACGCGCCGATACAGCACTCGTTTCCGCTCTGAGAAACCATTCCTCGCATGACATAGGAATTCATCAGACGATGTCCTCCATTCGCGTTCATAGGAATATTTAGTAGTCTATCATCTTCCCCCGAATCGTTCATCGTCGAACGGAATCACAGAAATCGGAATAAAATCCTTGATTATGCCAAGGAGATCTCGTACTCTTCCCACCGCTAGTAGGCAACCGAAGGTTCTCTCTCCTCCGTCTGATCCTGTCCGAAGTGAGCGCTGTTCGCTTTCCCCGCGTGATATGCCAGATATAATTCCTCCCCAAGATGTAAAAATGTAGTGAGCTATTTCTCCGCGCGTATGCAACCCAAGCCCGAGATTCAGAAGGCCAGAAGTACTTCCGTCGCTCGATCTCTTCAAAGAACCGGAGTGCGACGAAGAGTTCACGTTTGACGCAAACAGCGGACATCGGAGCTGTGTCAGCATCGGAAGTAATCGATACTCGGTCCTTTCAAGAATAAGTCGCAGTCAGATGGCAGATACGCTCGTTTCTGTCGTATTGGGCATCGAGGATTTTTTTCAAACGAATAGCCTTCATTCGATCAGATTGAATACAGTCTGGCGCTTGAGTAAGCCCGTGGAGACTCTCGGACGCAGTTGTTCATCGCCGGGACACGACGCTTGATCGGAATCGAGAGCGACGCCCATGTAAATTACATAAACTCATTTCGGCTACAGGCATCTGTCGCTATTTGATTGGTGGAGGGATGCGAAATGACTCAAAACTTCGTGTGTAAGTCGGACAGCGCCATTCGTCAATGTTCGATGATTCAATCATGGCAGACTCTTGTCGCAAAACGCGAAAACCAATTTGAATTCAATGATTGGCGTAGAACTCGACTTTCGATCGCATTCGAACAACGTTAACGCATCTCGCGCAAAAGATATGGGACGCGTTGAAAGTTATGTCGAACGATCAGACGAAAACCTCCGCGATCAGTTGAAATAGATCTCCGTCGGGCTCCGGTGTAGCTGTCTACAATCTTAAATTAATGTAATGTTTACTGTTTTCTGATCGTCGGCCAAATTTGTACCAATCCTTTCCAATCGCGCGGACGAACAACACGACTTCGCAAACGTTCAGATCTCTGGTATATCTCGCTGTCGCAAGCTTCTGTTCGAGGAGCCGCTGCGGGATGGATCTCGGCAGTCGTGGGACATTCCCCGCGCGGAAAAAAAATCCTCCGCGGAGAGCTCCTTAGACGCTCCCGGGAAAAAAATCCCGGGAAAACAGACTCAACAGGATCGCATCCGTCATCCCGTGTATCGCGATTCGCCGACGACTCCTCAACAACTTCAGACCAATTTACCCTGATACCATAGTATTTGTACAAGGGCTGTTCAACTACATATTCCAGCCAGGCTTTCACGGTTGACTTTTCGGCGAAGCCGCTCAGATAAGAGGATTTATGGATGATGCTCTTTTTTAAATCGACGTTTAGAGAGTGATCGTCGTCCAAGGATCGCGGTAAACTCTGTACCATCGTGCTGACATCAACTGGGACATAAATGACTTGACCGACACTACCGTAACAACCGTCATGACGCAAACGGTGTATTTGCATGTGAGGAATTCTTGGGGAGACAAGTCGCTCGCTTGTAGGGTCTAGCTTAGGCAAGCCCGATTGTTCGGATGGATACCTATAGCCATTCTTCATGCTCATCGGCGGAACTTTATCGCGCCGAGATGTGCCGTAATATGAGGAACAGAGCTGAAATCGAGTGGTATCGTCCTCCGGGAAGTGAGTCGATAGGAAAGCCGTCATCGAGGAGGTGACCGTTTTCAGATCACGGAGGAACCAGAGGCGATCCCAGACGTCGCATTTATGGCCAAATTCATTCTCCATAAAGATTTGCTCGAAACGGCCAGCCGCTCGAGTCTATCCGATTTCGTACTCTGCACTTCGTGCAAAATCAGCAGCCTCGGCGAGGTCCATTTCCCATACCTCTGGATCGGATGAAATTACGTTACTTTCTGCCACCGCCTCTGACTCGACATGATCTGTCTCCGTATGACTCGATTCTGGCGCGTGACGTTGTCGCGCCCGACATGACGCCGATCTCTCCGAGGAGGTTCGGGGTCTTTTTCGAGAAGATTCTCCCCTTTCTGCGCGTCGCTTCCCTTGCTGTAAACTACGAGTCTTCGGCCTGATGATGAGCGTTCGGTCGACTTCGTTATTCGTAATAACTCGCAATCGTACTTATTGGGTCTGGAAATCCTGCCTTTATCCTCATAGCCTCACCCGTAAAAACGCTTCTGCAGCCCTCATACATATTTTGGTACAAGCCTGAGGCTCAACGCGGTGCATTCCCGGTTTCCGATTGTGAGGACAAAAGCGGTAGGAACAGAGAGTCCGACAGTGATCGCGACAGTCGATTCTTCTCTGACTATGCTTATGTCGATCGGTCACTACTCAGTCAGTACTTTGAGTCGAGATCATCGATGCAACATCAATTTGGTGGAGATCCGTCGAGTACTTGATGACTTCTAGCCCCGCGAAATGTTACAAAAAACGCTGCATGATGACGAAGTTTTTCTCGAAATACCCAAGCCTTTTGGAAGACGTTTTCACGTCGGAAGAAGCGGGACGGCCCAATTATTGCGGGGTGATGCGGAATCGTCTATGTTTGTCTCACAGTGTTATTGATACCTTCCCGAATATCAGATGGCTGCCTGAGACCCATGGTTCAAGAAAAGCCATGAGCTCAATGGTGTGCGTAACAAAGATCATAAGGATGTCTTCCACGAAGTTTCCTCCACATGTCAGAAATACAACGAGTGAGAGATTCCTCCAATGGGCAGGCTCGAGGTCCCTCCCCAACCCCGGAGCGAGCCCAAGACTAAAAGGCACTAGGGACTGCTTTTCTTCCTCGAAAATACGTCACGAGCATTCTGCGAATCCTGTATTTGGCTGGCGATGCGATATTCTTCAGACTCAACTAATGATCATTCCACAAATTTTGAAAAGTAACCGCCTGCCTGCCGATGGCACGTGAGCTCGGACTCAACTCTCTGTTTCATCGCAAATTAGTCGTTGATTGGATTCCATCGACTGTGCAGAGAGCCCACTTGTCATCTCCTGCGAAGCTCCGTAAGTCAGAATGTTCTGTAGGCTCTGATTCCAATTTGCCTCGCCCTCTTTCAGGTTCTTTCGGCGGAGTTGGAAACAGGGATGGTCCGCTGAGATAAGGACGGCGCGGAATGATAGCTAGGCGAGCGGAACGTGCCGGAGCTCTGGCAAACGAATGAATTAACAGACAAACAAACAAGCCCGAACACCGACCGATTCGAGAAGCGAGCCAGGGGCGTGAAAATATTGAATCGAGGTGTACCACGTCAATAATTCTCCGAATTATCTATACCAACCATTTTCGGAAAGCGCAACGACTATCTGTTTATCAGGATATCAGCACCGTAACAAGATGGTCTGCTCAATTCAATCTCCATTCATTGAACGAGACAGGTTCTCAATCTATGCTGGGAATCCGAGAAAATCGGCCTCGTTGACATCAGCGATCTGGCGGCTCCCGTTGCGGTGAAACCAGATGACGGATATCCGATCGTGTATACTTTCACAGTTAAAAGTATCTCCCAAGGACACTGTTCATTACCTCGTTTTTCGCTCATTTTCGAACAAATACGGAAACAGAATACGGCGCTGATTCGCGCTGTAATACTTCTCGATTTGAGGATTTTTAAGTCCCGAATACCAACGTATTCCTTATCTTTTGCGAGAGCCTCCCACATATAATTCAGAGGTGGACAAGGTCGGGGCGATATTCACCCCACGGAAATGACCGAGAGTGTTTCTGCACGTACCCCTTTCGGGCTGAGTCTTCTGGAATAGAGCGCCAACTTCGCTTCTTTTGGTCTCGAGCAATTTCCTCGACGAGAGCGGTGAACGAATTTCATTCCGCCTACGTCTCGAGGGCTTGGTATCGCTCCACCGAGCCCGTCGAGGGGGATCGAGGGACTGTCGACTCCCGAAAGCTTCGCTTGCGAGAGGGAATTTTGAATCGTGAACACCAGTTTTAGC